CCGAAATTTAGCAGCGTGCAGCATTCCCAAAGCTGTTAAATATGCCCATCGTGCCAAAAATAATGGGGCCTTGTGTTTACCTAAGTCCTGAATAAATATGGTGGATTTTGGGACACAAATCTGATTAAAAACTTCTCCCCAGGCCAACATGAAAAACTAAATTAGCTTACTTAGTTAGGTATATGTAATTTATAAAGAATATAAAATTGGATGGCAACGAACGGTCATTTTGGTGGTGTAAACCTCTTCTAAAAGAAAGCGCCTCTCAATCTGAATTCCAATTAATGCAATTAATATTTTCCATGCTAAGTTTCAGGGGGCACCTATTCTCCATGACCAAGTGAGCGTTATGTGTGAAGTTCACCACTGAAGGGTTTTAGGAACAGATGGTAGATTAGACCAGGAGAGAGGAGGATGAGGTTTTAAGACAGGAAACCCCGCTTAACACTTGATGACTATGGTGTTCAGATGAAGCATCCATTAAGGAGGACATTGTATTACCTGAGCATCTTATTCAGTGTGGGGTCCACGGAGGTTCCCTCTGGGCCAAACCTCATCACAACCATCATTGCTTTTGACCTTCAGAAGTATGCAAAGGACACATATTATCTTTAGTTTATATACAGATGAGGATATGGAAGCTCCAAGGTTTCAAGGGACTGGTCCAAGTCAGAGTGGGTCCCTTGCAGCCCTCTTAGCGGGAAGGGCGGACAGGGTCTGGCCCGGAGTGACCATCCTCCCCTGCTTCTGAGGTGAGAAGCTCACGCCCTCCACTGGGATCCTGCCCCACAGCAGTGGCAGAGCACTGAAAAGGAATTCCTCTCTCTGGGCTTCCAGACACAAATGCTGTTGACAGGTTTCCACTCTTGTCCCTGGAGGAACACGTGTTTTTTGTGGAAAGAGCAAACAGAGGAGTCGGCATCTCTACGTTGTTTCCAGATCTGGCCTGCACTGGTTAAATTATAGAGCTGCGGTCACACGCAGCAGGAAGGGGTTTAGGGATGTCGCTGCTGGTGCAGGACTACCAGGACACCTGGTAAATGCACGGATTCCTGGGAATCACTCCCAGGAGTCTGACTCAGTAGGTCTGGGGTGGCCCTGAAGATTCTGCTGTTCTAGAAAGCTGCTGAGGTACGTCAATGCTGCCAATCCATGAACCACACCTGAGGATCATTGGCCTACGATAACACTATCTTAAAACGGGTCAGCGAACTCTATCTCAAGGGCCAGTTAGTAAATCATCTTAGGCTCCATGGGCTGTACACCAGGTCACAACTATTCAACTCTGCCACTAGCTGGAAAGTGGCCACAATCTGTATGTCACTGCTCATGTCCATCTTGTGAGAAAACTTGACAAGAATGGGAGGCCTGTGGACTGACCCCTCACCGGGTGTTTTGAACAATTTGGGCTTTGAGTTCTTCCCCACCACTCCTTGCTTTCCGGTGGGTATGATATTCCTGGTCTTATTTTTTCTCCACGGCTACAATGAAAATGAGATATAATCGTATCATAAACACCCAGAAAAAGCCATTCTGTATCAGGTTCAACCAGTCCCAGGTTTTCAGCTACCCTGAGTTAAGTATGATACCTTCCTTTATTTGAATAATCATCACATTTGTCTTGATCAGTGTTTCCTCTAATTATTAGGCATCACATAAAAAAAAATAAGAATGTTAAGAGAGGACAGAGGGGATCATTTTGAATGGTATTTAGGAACTTTCTTGGTGTCAGAAAATAAAAACCTAGAGTTCTTCTTATATTAAGAATGCTTCTGTGAGGGAGAACAAGAAAGCATTCTTTAGCAAGGTTCCTAAAACAAAACAATGACCTTTTTGGTGGCCTGACATGCGAACCGCCTTTGTAAAACATTCTGTTAATAGAATTAAAAAAACATTCTATGACTAGGGGTGCCTGGGTGGCTCAGTGAAGGGTCCAACTCTTGCTTTCCGCTCAATTCATGATCTTAGGGTCCTGGGGTTGAGCACCACAATTGGGCTCCACACTCAGTGTGGAGTCTGCTTTTCCCTCTCCCTCTGCTTGCACGTGTACATACACACACACACTCTCACTTTCAAATAACAAATAAAATCTTCAAAAAAAAAATTCTATGAACGAAGACATAACCAACAAGTTATATTATTTTTTATTCATGTTAGAATTTCTATCAGTGTTTGAACATTAATATTTAGAGAGTTTGTACATTTTTGCCTTCCAAGGTTTAAAATGAGAACCACACTAGGTCACAAATGGTAACTAATACACATTTCACAATTGCATGAATATTTACTCGATCTCTCACTCTCTTAACACTGTTAAACATTTTCTTTTCCTTGCTGTACTTACAATGAAAAGTGTGCCCCACTCATGTCTCAGCAAAGTTCCAGACATTATGGACTCATCACATATAAATTCTTTAAAAATATACTTCTGTCAAAAGACTTGATGACTACTATGTACACTACAAAAATAAACTTTCATATAAATAAATTATATGGCATACTTTTATCTTTGTAATTGAAATGACACAAACCCATTTCTGCCAAAACTGGCAGACAATGAGACCCAGTTTGAATATTTATTTCCTTTAAACTCCTTACACTAACACCTACCATGAGTCTTCAATGAAAATGTTATATACTCTGAACTATTTAACATTAGTAAGCACTCTATACAAATAAAAATTCTGTTCAAAAGTAAAACATAGCTGTAATAGTGTTTCCAATAGAAATAAAATCCCTGCATTTTTTTGTTATAAACTGGCATGACAAATACTGTAGGAAAACATTCTTATGATACAAAATTATAAATATCAGCAAAGATTTAAAAAAAATTAAAACATCCAAATGAACAAACAAGACAGACAAAATAAAACTATTTTTAAAAAGAGAGAGAGATAGAGAGAGAGATAAATTCTGGCCGTCTGCCCGCCCCCGGGTTCTCCCTTTGCCAAAGTGACTGTGGGAGAAAGTTCTACGCTGTGCAGAAAGCAGAGCCGTGTGAGCTCTCATGCACCACACAAGCTGGGCTCAGGAAAGGAGCAAGGAGGGCGTGCCATGAGCCAGAGAGAAGCAGACCTCAGAATTCTGCACCATCTCTCTCTTGAACGCAGGACATAAGTTTTCTGAGCAGAGCTGGGTATTAGATGGACAGACAGTGTGGCCGACGGAGTCACTGGACAGTAGACGCGGGCCCCCCGAGACCCTGGCACATGAACACACACACCTGGTGGCCACAGGGGGCTTCCAATGAATATCTTACAGTTTTGTGGCAAGGTTTTGGGTCTGAGGTCACTATGCTGCTGGGTACTACCGGGAGCCCATTGCCTCCTGACTGAGTTTTTCTGTGGTGAACAGGAGGGGACTGTGGGAGCTGCCACTTGTGTGCTCCCACAGAGCCAAGTCTGGGTACTGACCATCTCCCTGACACACACCTCAGAGCAAGACGACAGAAGCAAGACAGAAGCAAATCTTTAAAAATCACACCTGGTTGAGAGACCTGCCTCCAGACACGTTCTTCAGCGGGGTGTATTGAATGAACATCTCCCTGCTCTTGGATCAACATCCCGTCGAGGGAACACTAATGAGGCTGAGAGGAGGGACACGGTCTGTTGAGGGCGCGTGGGCCCATAATGGGAATATTCACACACTGAGAAGGATCCTTCGGAAGCTCCTACCCTGCAGAACTTCTGACTCCACATCACCACACTGGAGGCTCACTATTTATTTTTCAAGAAGATACAAACAGACCCAGAAAGTCCCAGCCAACTGTGCAATTTAGGAAGAAGGGGGAGTTTAAATTGTAGGGACTCAAAACATCACCTCTGGGTTGACTGTGGTAAAAAACCAGAATCAACAGGTTTTTCTACTCATAGCGGGGTCATGGTCTCTGAAAGATTTCCAATCTGCCCTTATGTTTTGAGGGTGCGTGTATGTGTATGTGTGTGTGCACGTGTGTGTGTCACGAGAGGTACAACGAAGGCTGCATAGTCTAGAATATATATTCATGGCCCAGCTGAGGCATACCACTGAGCGTGTTCTATAATAACGCTTTAATACCAATGAAGATGAGCGGATGTTAGCTCTAAACCCTGAGGTTCCACCGTCCACCACAACGATCCACACAACAGAGCCCGTCTCCTCTGAGGCATGAATTGGGAGAGTCTGGATAGCAGCCAATGATCTCAAGAGAGCCCTGGGCCTGAAGGGAGTCCGGCGAAAGGGTAAGGTGACATTCAGGGCTAGCTTTCCACCAGCACCAAGCAATAAAGACATCCTGACTCTTCCAGCTCAACTAGGGCAGAGCCCACTGAGGGTTACAAGACAGTGAAAAGAAACAAAAAGAGAAAAAAAAAATAAAATCACAGTACAGTACATTGGGAATCCACACACATGTTCACACACATGTTCTCACACACACACACACACACACACACACACACACACACAGCCAAACGAAACCACATCCCACTACACCTGGAGAAGCCACTGGGGTCAGCGTACCTTCTTCATATCTGCTCATTAAACAACAAAATTATCACGCATAGCGTGTTTGAAAGTTAACAGTAACATTTCATACTACCACAGGGTTGTGATATGCAAATTTAAAATATTTTAAACAGAAACCTTTACAAAATAATCCTATTACATAAGCAATATTTGCATAGAATTATACAGGTAAATTATACAATATTTAAGCAGCAGCAACATATGCTGAAATTTAAGACTAAGTTAGGCTTGTTTGTGGCACAGAGACCCATGCACAAATCGGGAGGGGCCCCGCGGCTGCCTCCCCACCACCCACTCTGGGGGCGGGGGTAGAGAGAGCCCAGATCGCACTACTGTACATCCGTTCCTTCGTATATTACATATGTGTACACCTCTTAAATATTTATAGAACTATTTCACAAAATAATACAACCGGTTACAGTAACGCGGAACTGCTCTCCCGGAGCGCACGCCTGTGGGACTCTAAGCGGTTCTCTTCAAGCAGTTCGGGGGTAGAGGGGGTTGGGGGGGTGGGGGGCTTCCAATCTTTGGCCTCTGCTTCAGATTTTACTCACCCTTTAAAAGAAAAAAAAAATAAGTCAAACGAAGCCACGGGTGTATGAGTTTGTACTTAGCACCAAATCAAGGAAACTGGTCAATGGTACTAGAAATCAGGATGGGGGTGCTGGGTGAGCGCAGGAGGGGCTCCTCAGGGTGGGTCACGAGACCTTCCCCGATGTGAGGGTTAGGGTTAGGGTTAGGGTTCACTGAGCCGTGTATCAATCACACCTGTCACGGGGCTTTAGGGAGATCGAAAGACAGGTGGAAGCCAGCTAGCATCCCCATGAACTTGCACTAATTCTCAACAAGGCCACAGCAAGGGAGGGACCCAGTTTGGGAGAGGACCGGTTCCCCAAAGATGACAGAGCTTGGATGTGGTAGAGATCAGGGGTCACCGGTGTTTGGTTTGGGCCACACCAATGCCCAGGGGATCCTGGAGGGGGTAGCCTGAGAAGCCCCAAGGAGCTCTGCTCTCGGTCCCCGCCCCCCGAATATCCCTCCACTGCTGCCGAGGGGCAGCGACTCGTGGGCCAACACCCTCCCACCCCGCACATACCTCAGTTGGAGCTGCTGCCCCGGGGCCTCTCCTCACATTCCACGTCCTGCAGCTCTATGACTTCCACCTTGGAATCCCTCCTCTCGCACCGGACGTTAAAAGGCACGTGGGGGTCCTCAAATAGCCCGTACTCAGTCTCGGGGTAGTCCCCGTAGCCCGGGCACAGTCCCCCTCGGGTGTTCCACGTGGAGCCGGGCCCGGGGGCGGGCGGGGGGTGCACGGCCACAGTCACGGATGCCGAGGCCGTCACAGTGGTGATGGGCTGGCAGTAGCTGGGTGCCGAGCTGCCCATGGCAGTGAACGCTGGGTGCCGAGGGTTGTTCGAACGGGCTCCCCGGGGGCCCGCACGGTCCCTATTACTAGGGCCAGGATGCCCGTCAGTAGAAATTTCGAAAGCGTCTCTGCGCGGTCTGTAGGGGGGTGGCCGCAGGCCTTCTCTGGGGGGTTCCCTCCGGGGCTGCTGGCCTGGTCGTCCAGGAGGCAAAGGCTCTGTGTCCAGGGGGGATTGCTGGCGAGGGTTTGAGGGTGGGTGATGTCTCGCTTCAGGATGGACCACCTGCAGAGGGTGAGGACAGGTTAAAACAGGCAGGACGCCATCCCCAGGCGGGGCGTCGCCCCTCACTGCGCCCCGCCTTCCCTCCTTGGCTCGGGCTCCCGCCGGCCACCCACACACAGCTCTTCACCAAGTGCTCAGTCAACCCCACAAATGGCTGGGAGAGGCCCCCGGGGAGCCAGCGGGGCCTTCTACCCACAAAAGAAAAACTTGTTCTTTTAGAACCTCCCCAACGTGGCAGAGGAGGGCCTTATTTGGAGCCTAGGTCTAGGCTTTCTCTAGCGCAGCTGGCTGGGCACACATGGCTGTGGCCCCTAAACGCAGGGCTGTGGTCACAGAGTCCCCGCGCTGCCTCCCTCCTGCTGTTTGCACCCCACCCTGCGCTGTAGGTCCAATCCCAAGCTCCTCCTCTTGGAAAACTGCTAAGCATCTGGCTCTGGCTCACCCCAATGCTGCATGCTGGCAGGATGTCTATGCCTACACCGTTGACTACGGCAGCCACTAGGAACACAGGGCTCTTTGCCCTTAACTGAACACCAATTCCAAATGCGGTTCCTTCGTTGTACCAGCCACATTTCAAGGGCTGAACAGCCACATGTGATCAGTGGCTACTATACAGGCGAGCACAGAGGGAGCATTTCCATCATCGCGGAAAGTTCTATGGGGCAGCGCTGCTCTGTCCGGTTGTTAGGAATCTGGTTTCTGGGTCTCTATACAAAGCGTGGAGCAACACAGTGGCCACATCAATCAAAAGGACCGTGACCAACTTCAAAGTCGTTCAGCTTGTACCTATTTTTAGGCTCCTGCTGAACAAAACCAGATTCACACTGCAGCTCAGCAGGCATCGTCACGGGGGGTAAGAGGAGGAAAATTTAGGTTATTTGGTTGGCCTCTCTCTCTTTCATGCGAGGGCTGCTCTGGCCTGGGACTGGAATACCCATTTCCTGGAGGGACAGCAGGAGGCCCTCAGTTGGAGCAACACGAGTCTTAGAACCTTCCTCGGGTTTTGTGTACTATGCTCTAGGCCTGAGGGGGGCTGAGCACTTCCTGGGGAGCAGAGAAAGTGCAGGACATGGCTGGGGCTCTCGGAGTCTTTCAGAAGGGGCTCCTGGGCTGCTCATGGCTTTCCTAAAGGCTAAGCTTCCCACTTCTAGTAAAGTCTTAGACATCAACAATTGAAATAATTTTGTACTGGGGCATTTAAAGGTAACAGAAGTGGGAGGGGAAAAAAAAAATCACTATTGGCAATAAAAAGACCACTATGTTTTTAAAAAAAGTATTATTCTAAAATGACGTGCAGCTTAAAAAAAACAAAAAAAAAGCAGCAGCAGGAAGGCAGGCTTTCCCTCTGGGCCTCAAGCTCCAAGTGTGCTACGTCCGAGTAAGATACATGCCAACGCTGCTCAGAGCTGGGGATACTGGCCCCCGCCCTTTGTAATCCATAGGACACCCAAACACAAGGAACTAACGTTTTTGTAGTTTCAGAGGCAAATATAGGCAATTTCATATGATTCTACATAATCTCTATTTTAAAATCCTATCTGTCTGGGATTTGCTGTTCACAGGAGATAGGGGCTACCCCCACCCCCACCCCCACCCTGTCAGGGTGACTTACAGTGGAGCGGGCAAAGACAGGGTTTTCTGTGGCTTCCACGATCACTTGGTGGGCAGGGCCTCCGGTGCCCTGCTGGGCCTCGTAGTGCCGAAGCTCTTCGCTGATGCCCGACACTGTTGTCTGAGAACTGTACTCCGAGTCAGAGGAATCAGACCCATTGTTTGCATGACCGGGGGGCACAGCAAAGCGGACCACGCTGGGGGGCGGCTCGGGGGAAGGGGTGGGCAGTCGGTTCAGCCCGTTGGCTGGAGACACCTGTTTAAGGAGATTCCATATCAGAAGTGTTATCATCCATTTACTGCTGGTCACACTCAGAGTGCAAAGCACTGTACGGCTCAGTGGTCTCTGTACCCGTCCCCCTATGGCCCGGCCTCTCCCACGGCCCTGTGCTCACCTCCCCCACTCTGCCCCTCGACAGCTGGGGCCCAAGATCCAGCCTCTGCTCTTACGCTTTGGAAAAGGCAGGCTGTGCCCTTTTTACTTATTTTCAAGCCCAGATATTCATCTTGGGTGTTAACTGCTTCATGGATACAGAACTACAAGACGCAGACCGCCAATCACTTGGTTTAAGACACAAACAAAACAAGTACGACATCCCCCCAACTATTACGTTGAAGAGAAAAAAGCCATAGTCGTGGAAATGTTTACTGAAAAAGCACATAGTAATGTTGAGATACCTAAATATCTAAATTCACAGGGACCCTGGGACAAACAGCTTTCAGGTGGCCTTAGGGGTGTACGTTATAGCCTGGTATGATTACTGACCTCGGGGTACGGTCCGAAGAAGGACAGAAGGACTGGGAGCAAAACCAGCCCGTTGAGAACACCCAGGATTGTTAGGATTGCCAGGACAGCAAAGAAATACCTTGAAGATAAAAGGGAAACAGGAACATTCACTGTGGCAAAAGTAAATGAAGCCAGGCTTCACATGCCCAAATATTACGTAGCACATCAAAACACAAAATTAACGAAGCCCACACGGTTGCAAAGGCCGTTACAAAACTGTGGTTCAAATTCAGCATGAGATTAGGTTTTTTCCTTTTTTGCTTTCTTTTTTTTTTTACCTTGTGACTCTCAAGGACTACATTCCACAACCCAAAGTGTTAGTTTGTGAAGGGACGAGAGAAAAATTAGTTTGTTAATTTGCTGAAATCTCCTGGCATGTAATGTTATTTATGAATGTGTTACACAAACACAAAAATATGGAATGTGAGCTGAATGGCTGAGCAGATTGGAAGCACAAACACAATGCAGAGGGGCCCGTCCGTGAAAACCCAGCAGAAGCAAACAAATGAAGTGAAGGGTGTAGAATTTAAACAATTTAGCTCAGGAGGAAAAGCAGCCCACTTCTGCAGGCAGCTAATCCACTGTGAAATGCCGCTGCATCTTAGAGCAGAATCTCTAATTAAGTCTCCAGCGTATCAGGTAAGGCTTTCCCTGGGCTTTCATTAATCACAACTTTCTGCCGAGAATTCTGTGAGTTCCAGTTTTACCAAACGGCTCCGATTGCAACCTTTTTAGAACACAAGAACCAGCTTTCTGCAAAAGAAAGCACTGCCCATTCTGTGGTTGCTGGGGCATTTGCGGGGGAGGGCGGCCCACAATGAGGGGGCTGCTCTGTGGGCCAATCTTTTGTTGAACAATTTAGCATCTCTGAATACTCTTGTTTTGCGTCAGCCAATTCAAACATAAAGGCCTCAGCACCATGAAGAAGAGGAGAGTGCGCAAGTGGCCCTGCTTTCCCACCATTGAGGGCTAAGGTCTGGGATCCTTCATGAATACCAAGGTAAACCTGTCAGCTCGGGAGAGCGGCTGGCCGAGGCTGCGCCCAGCTGGAGGGAGCGGGCTCCATGCTAGTGTACATTTTCTGGAACTAAGAGTGTCTAGGGCAGCTCTGCTGGAAGGAGGCTGTGGTGGGGGAGAGCTCAGGATGTGCCGGGAAGAGGGAGGGCAAGATATCTATCTGTTAATGGTCCTCTTGATCATAAAACAGAACAGGCACCCAACTTCGCCATGACTCTATATGTTTCGACATTAGATGAAAGGAGTGAGAATCTCTATAAAAATACAAATACCTCGCAGCTATTGTAAACACTAGAAACTTCTGAGCTGCATTAGTAAAAAGCAAGCCGCCAATGTCTTGCTCTAATGTAAACTGCTGGAACTTCAGGCTGAAGCATAGGTCAGCGGCAGCATTACAACATTTGCATCCCATCCATCTAACTGTAGCATAAACAGACCAATTAGATTTCTGACAGCTTAGCGTATACAATGTCTGCTCATGCAGTTGACCTCAGTGAGGGCTTTATCAGGTTAATCCATCCAGTTCTAGAAAATGGGAAGCCCTTTTAAAGTGCTTGGAACAAGAACCCTGATATCTCTGGGAGAGAACAGGGAGCCAGGGGTTAGATGAGAGCCAGGACTCTGCCCTCCATCCTGGTGCCCAGCTGGTTGCTGGGATTCTGGCAAAGATCCCCTCTGTGGCTCACTGGGCATCCCCACAAGGCTGAGTGTGATCCTCTGAGAGCCCATCCCGCCCAGAGCTTCCCATGCTTCTGAGATGCCTGTGAACTCCCTCTCCCCACTGCAGACTGTAAGCCACATGGAGGGGGATAGGGTCCACGTTACTCGCTGCTGTGTATAATGGCGCTTATGAGGTGCTTGGTACATTGTGTCCAGGGAGAAGTCACGCAAAAGAGACTCTCCTTGACACAGGGGTTTTGTGCCATAAAGAAACATCAATTAATGCCCGAATATGGGTAAGCTAAGGAAATAAAGGAAAAGCCAAAGTCAAGTTAAGAGCTGAAAATAAAACTCTGGCCAAAAGCTTGATCTAATTTAGGCACACATCTACCTGGTATTGGCAAACAAGAATGTACTAATTGGCTTGTGAGCTGATTAACAGTGTTGTGCTGAGAAGACCAGCAGCATGGGTATCACCTGGAAGCTGGCTGGAAATGCAAACTCGGCTCCACGGCCTCCCTGCCCCCAGTGAAATCTGAGCCGCGTCTGCAGAGCCTTGGGTCAATCATAAGCTCGTTGCGGTCTGAGGAGTTCGGGTCCGCACTGTGATCATGGGCCCACCTCTCCATTGGCACGCACTGACTACACCCAGGGAACGCTGGGCCTCCTTCGGGGAAGGCTTAGTCTCTGCTGCCCAACTGCCCAGCGGGGTAGGCCACAGACCCACGGGATCCTGATCTGGCTTCTGCAACAAGGGAACTTGGACTGAAACTCAAAACCCTCTTCTTTTCACTTGAAAACGCAAGACCTATCACAGGCCCACACAGCGAGAAAGCCTGTTTAGATTCTCCCTCCAGATTCCTGAAGCGTCCCAACCCAGACAGTCACGTCTCATGTTCAGTTCTACTTTAGCACGGTTCTAATCCTGGACTGTCTTCCTATGGATGGTTCTGGCCTTGCCTGTCCACGGAGCAGCAGCAGCGTTCCACCCAGGAGCAGCTATTTCCCAAAACCATGGGGGCCGTTGGGAGCAGAGAAGGGTCTTTCCCTGCAGAAGGCAAATTTGTTCTCCTTTTCTACGTCACGAACTCATTCTCTTCATAAAGCCCCCAGAAACTGCTTGCCTGGGGATCCAAAAAGAAGGATCCAAACTAGGTCTGGATTTCCGACATTTGACACCGAAGTTACACATTTAGCGCTCCCTAGATCTTACTTAGAACTTCAATGTGAAGTCTGGGCGTGCTACCTTTGCTTCTTAGAAGAAGAAAATGTAGGTGATAATTTTAGATACTTGTAAATTTTCTTTTCTATCATTTTGAAAGAAGAGTGAAGGTCAAACTCAGTCAGTGGAAGGGAACCAAGGTCAGAACTGGGGGGTACTGGGCGGTCCCCTGGCTTCACGCTGTGGAACTCTGCTGCTTGTCACACTGTCCATCTCTCCTCCCCAAGATGTTCCCTAAGACAGCTCTAGAAGAGAGCTTGTCCTTCTACCTCCCCGCAGATCTCTGAGTTAGGAAACTCAGCAGAAGAGGAGTCACGGACTACGGTGATCGTTTCACAGTGTATTCACAGGGCACAACATCGTGTTGTATACCTTAAAAAATATATAATTTTTACTTGTCAGTTACACCTCAATACATCTGGGGGAGAAGAGTAGAGTCATAATGAGGATGTGCTGCTATCCACAGGACACAGAAAGGAATATGCAACAGAGATCGTAAAGATGATAGGGATTCTTGGAAATTAAGAACCGTTTCCCCTCCTGCTTACCTGACAATGAAATCGAACTCCGATCCTGCAAGCATCAGCACTCCCAGCAGAGTGGAAACAGCGCCGTCCAGGACGGGTGCGAACATGTGCTCTAGGGCGAGCACGGCCCTGCGGTTCTTATCGCCAATGGCCGTTAGAAAGGCCTGTGCAAGGAGAAGAGGCTGGATGAGCAGGTTCCTGGACTGAGTGCGGTCCGTGGGCAGCTCTGTCCAACACGCTATGAGCTGTCTTACTCAGTCTGTGCAGACCTTCTCACACCTTCCTTTCTAGCTCCTGGAATATTTAACCTGGGGTGCTCAAGTACTAAATCTGGGCTTATGCTAAAGGGGCCTGCTAGTGATACTGTGTCATGTTTGGCATTGATATAAATCTTGAACCACCACCAAAAAAGACAGCAAGCATATTTACTTTAAATTAAAAACCAAACCAAAACTATACAAACAAGAGCAAAATGTCCCCTTCTTTTCACTGTTGCTCCCTGGGGGTTTCTCACCCAACCCATGCAATCCCACGGCTTCTGCATGGGAGGCCCACGGTGTGAAGAGGATAGCACCCTTCCTGACTTTGTGGGAGGTCAAGATCTTTCTTCCAAGTGGGCTTAGTTGAGGGGCGCGTGCAACTGGGTGCACAGGCTGATGCAGGGTTCAAGCTAATGGGTCTGTTGTACCTCTAAGCACCACGGAAGTCTCACAAGAAAAAATACAGGACTCGAAATTCACATCGCGCCTGTTCTAACTCCGTGTGGTCATATCACCCCCTCCTTCACTTCCCAAAGCCCTGCTAGGTGATGAATACTACCGATGCCAATGGCAACATTACAGAGTAAGCCCCAGCGTATTGGACTGTTGGCTTGACGGGGTGACCATTTTGATGGGAGTCAGTTCCTGTCATACTCTGCCTTGCCCTCAGGGGGCCCTGACAGGAGCTGGCACAAGTCCTTTGTCTGCCTGAAAGGGATATGCTTTCTCTGCAGACCATAGCTCCTGAAAAACAAGGCCTATCACACATCGGGCGCACTCCTATTCCTTGTGTTGCTTCTGGAAGAACACTAGGTTGTTCTCTTGAACAGATAAAGAAAGAAAAGCATACAAAAATGTGCTATGAGTTTCTGTACTTTTCTCTAAAGTACATTTTCTCTAAAAAATGCACATGCTTTCCCAGGGTGGGGAAGGGTATCAGGTCAACAGAATTGCCTCTTTGTCTTGGGAGGAAAGCAACAAGACAGTCTGGAACCATGTTACTTTGTGCCATACTTGGGCCATGAGGCTGTAAGAGCTAAGTAGGGTTTATCATCTCACACCCAACTTATACTGTGGGAATAGTGAACTGACAGGAACCCACTGATTCCTTGAAGAGAGTTCTTCACCAACCTTATTCCATCATTTTATAAAGCTTGAAAGAGCAGTACCTGCCTGCTTTCAATAGACCTTCACACAGAGGCTGGGTAAGAACAGCACATCCTGCATGTGATGGTCCCGTGATGAAGGTGAGGGCCACAAGCATTTAGCAGGGGTGACTGCTCACGAAGCCAAGCTGCCTCTTGAGCTTCCTTAAATTCTTGGAATTAAACCTTGCACAAGTGGCGGAAGCATTCCTTAATTGCTTAGTCAGCACTGGTGTATGCATTTACATTCATTTCACTGCACGTGTAAGGCCCACGGTGCCACCACAGGTTACACTTCTCATTTCCACTGTAAAAACCTGTTCTAGAATGTTCTTGTTTGCCATGCTAGCTATCCCCCCAAAAAGTGGTTTTCCTTCGCATCAGAATAAAATGACCGGGTGGATTCTTAACTCTTATGTCAAGTTTTCTCCTTTTTGAAGAAATGATATTAAGAATTAATTATGTTCTAAGCTGTAGGCTGGTGGGCTCTTCCTTTTAAAAAATCCCCTCTCCCTCCTCCTGGCTCAACGGAGGAAAAGAATTTGGACAGGTTCAAAATTTAGAGAATATTGTTTCTATATTATCAGCTTTTTGTTGAAAATGGGACAACCTCAACAAAACGTTCCTTCTGGAACCCAGAAGTTTACAGTCTCTAAACTGCATAAGAAGGCTCCTGAAAGACTCCTCGCGGAGAAACCAGGAAGGCACAAGACAGAGCCTATGTGTAAATCCACGCATGTGCAGACATGCATACGCCGTGTGCTAAGCCCCAGGAAAATCAACGCTAGTAACCCAAAAGGCAAGGCTAATAGTAATTTGGCCCAGGCTCAGTGCAAGGTTTCCTACCTAGGGCATTCCAAACATCAGTATTTCTTCAGTCAATAAATGTTTATTGAGTGCCTAATAATAACCCCAAAGACTGAGGTTATAAGCACGAGTGTGGACAGAACGTAAGTCACACACGGCTAGGAGGTTTTGGAATAAATTCCCAATAAATGTACACGATGGGCTTGTCTCTGGGTTTAAAGACTCCTCCTGATGTTTAACTTCCTCCAACAAACTGCGCACAGGACTGGACACAGAGAAGAGGGCGGAACATTCCGCTGAGAGCAACCATGGTCCTCTTTTTCTTCTCTCATGAATTTGGAGGCAGGGAGATTGAAGGAGCTGGGTGGGCTTAGCAGGAAGAACCAGTTCCTCTGTCCCACTGGCTCCGGGCTCTGTCCTTGGCTGCTGACGGGCCCCACCACGCCTGTGAGTGTGGTCTCACTTGATCTCTGCTGTAGAACTGTACTTTTACAAACTGTGTGCGCATTTGTATGCTCACACATGTTCATACTATCTAACTTAGGAACAAGGTTGACAACTGACAGACCTGTCATGACACTAAGGTCACCAAATAAGCACCGTCCTTCCTGGTCCCCCGCTGACCCCAAGAGGGAAGCCTCCTTACTAAGGCCCGTAGTAGTAGTACGTGTGTTCCTTGGTGTTGGAGAAAAACAGAAAGTCCCTGACCTGGAGATTACCAGAGCTAAAGGAACAGCTGTTGCCTTTCCATCAAGTTATCGATGAAGAGGTCTCCCATACCAGAGCAACGTGAACGGTGAACTCCACTCCAATGCCAACGGAAGCGATCAGGATGACCACGGGCACGGCGCTTAGCTTGATCCCAATGAGGCCCATCATGCCAAAGAGCTCGACAGTCATCAGAGCCAGGACTGTCACCTTTAGGAAGATGCAGGGGATGAGTGGATGGGCACAAACACTCCAAGTGCTGACAGCAGGGGAGAAGATCCCTCCAGATCAAGAGTAGAGAAAACACCTGGGACCCAAATATAGTGAACACGCTGACTCACTTTCACTCTGGGCACCTGTCTTTACTTTCTAATTCACCATGTCGCTGCTGAGAAGAGAGACTTCGGGACAATTTGGGGATAGCTGCTTTGGGCCAGCAGCCTGTTTAAGGAGTACAGAAAGGCAAAGCTTAGTATTACTACCGCAAGCTGTTTTTCCAATATATCTGTTCTAGAAAGCAAAAAGTACAATAAAAAAAAAAATTCACAACTATTCCCTTTGAGTCATCTAAGAATTACACAAACACGGACTGGTCCCTAGGTACAAATTTAATATACTTTAAACCAAGGTATTTCCTTCTGTTTTGATAGTAATCATCAGAAACTGTCCTTGAATTTACAACAGAATTGAAACTTGCAGAGTTTTTGGTTGCCTGCCTCCATTCTAAAGAAAGCAGATAGGACGGGTGAATAAAAAGTTCTTTCTTTGACGTAAAGGCAGCTCTGCTTTTGTTTGGAGAGCGCACGCGTTAAGAGAGGATGCGGAGGGAGAAAGGGGACTTCTGGTCAGCTGACACGGGTCAGGTTACAGGCGCCTTCACTTTGAAGAAGTGAGGAGCAAGACGGGTGGACAGAGCAGACAGCTCAACCCAAGGAAAAGTCCTGTTTGCCTTCCGTTGGCCTTGTAAACATTTGCGCAGAGATGGAAAGAAAATCTGCAAGGTAGCTTATGGAGTTTCTTGAACCAAAGGGAAGAAAACACAAATGAAACAGTAAACTTCCCACAGATGGAAGAGAAGGAGTGAATGAGCTTTCCGGATCGGGGGTGGGGCAGTGGACAGCGGTGTCAGGGAAGGACGAGTCCAGAAACAGTTCCCTTTGCTTTCTTTTAAGAACCTAATGAAAGATGGACGACATCAATGACTTAAGTACCATGAAAACCCCTATAGACTAAACATTTACCTTTTAACATACCTGCTGCACAGACGTATGGTGCAGAAATGAGACCTGGTCTCTGTTTTTATAATTGTGGCATTTTGAAGGCTATACCACAGTTCGTGGAATTTAAACACTGCCGTGATTTTATTAGACTCCACATGAAACTTACTTCAGATCTGGGAGTATTATACTTGGAAAAAGGATGCCAAAAACTCGGCTAGTAATACTGGTTCATCAACGTCCTTCAAGCTTTAAAACACGCACAACACACAAAACTATCTCAAAAATCATTTAACCCATAGACCACTATCCTAACTTCTCTAATTACCTCCCCCACCCCTTTTCTAGAAGAATCTTCTCTATGTTAGGTCTGGGATGTAGTCACAAAAGGACCCTTTAAGTTAAAAAAAAAAAATTAGTTACATTTGTATTTAATAAATGCTCAGAGTGTTTGTGTTTAATAAATGCTCAGAGCGGTTATAGAGAACGTGTTTTAAAAACTTCCCTGTCTTTACACAGACAGTTGAAAGCTGTAGGACAAGGGACACAAGATGAAGGCCATTAACGGCTCTACCTGGCCATGAACCTCGCCACCTCCCGCAGTATAAATATAGCAAGGGTGATGCAATCTATACCCTCCTCCAGAGGCCCAGACATAAACACAGCTTCCCGGCTGCAGCAAGAGCTAGGCCGAAAGGAATCTGACTTCCACAAAAACCCTGCGAATGAACTCACAATGATCCCGGCCGTCCAGGGGTTCAGGAGGAAGACAGCACACACCAGGAACGTGCAGGCCAGCACCACGCTGATGGACAGCAGGAGCCAGTGGCGGAGGCCGATATACTGCTCCCAGAAGAGGAAGGGGTAGCCGTTGGGGTAGCTGGAGAGCCCCAGGCTCGTGTAGTTGTTGCAGATGGTTCTGACCTTTTCTATGGCTTCCACGAAGTCTGAGGTGTCCCGCAAGCCGTTGAGGTAGAAAGGGAACTGAGCGTATTCGATGGGCTCTGCTGCTGGGACTAGACAGGGAGACAGCGGGAAGAGGCCACAGCTGAAGGCTCGGGGCAACGGGACGGGGGCGAAGGAGCGTGACCTGGGTACTGGGGAGCCACCGCACGCCCCAGGGCAGGCCATCCCAGACCCACAGCCCGCTGCTCTGGGATGACCAGAGAAGGGACTCTGCCACCAAGTTCCCTGACTGTGCTTCTTTCAACGTGAAGCACAGACTGTACCGGGATGGCCTTCGGGTCTTTACAATCTTAATCTCTGGTTTAAAAGAGTTTTAAGCAATGATCAACATTTGATTTTTTTTTCCGGTGGGGGAGGGGAGGAACCTGGGGCCTGTGTATTTATTTAAACTTTGATTTTAATCTTCTAGAAGCAGTCACTTTTGTGATGGGTCTAAACAAGAATTCAACGGGGGAGCATTTTTTGTTTGACTGACACAAGGGAAAATACTAAGTTCAAACTGTTTTCCTCAATCACTTACCAGAACAAAATAACTCAAAAGTCATGCTTTCCTGCGAAAAACGCTTAACTTTCTTATCCTTTTAGTGATCTAACACACTTAAACCTTGCATGCTTCTTTTTTAATGCAATGCTAAGTCTTCAGCAGCAGGGGAAGAAATCCTTACACAACAAGCATTTAGTTACTGCCGTTGTGTGTTCCAGACCCTTTGGGGTCATTCAGTTGACTTGCTAAACATGATTTGCCCTATTATAATCTCAACTATAAATTTTCATTAAGACAAGCCTTGGCTGCTTGCCACAAGGCTCTGGGGTTTAGATACAGAGAAGCACAACCCACTTCCTCTCCGGCCACGTTTGCAAAGGGACCCGTCTTTGTCACGTCCTCCCTCGGCCTCCTCTCCAAGGTGGAAGCTACTAATATCTCTAACATCAATGCAAATTAAATCCATACCGGACCACCTTTCAAAGTCAGGGCTGAGAGGGGAAAGGAAGAGGACGCTGCTGTATACAGGCTATTCTGCTCGGGTTTAAACAGCTTTGACAGAGTACAGGTGCTTGGTGGCTTATAGGAATGACCCAACTTGCCAGAAATTCCTTCAACACCAGAGTTGACAAAGCTAAGATAAACATATAATCCCCAGCGATAAAACTGTGCAATAGTAAAATAACACTCGACCTGGAGGCGTCCCCAGCTTTCACATGGAACAGCTGGCATGAAAGAGAGCTGCCTGGTGGGCGTCCTAGGGTGAAAGCTACAAGCGGAGATTAGGGACTCTCATTTCCCAACGTGATAGAGCACGGGTTGTATTCCATTACACATCCTCATCTGTCTCCCAGAGTTTTCAACTCAAAGAAATATATTGTTCTGTTTACACTTTTGAACCCTGGGTAGCGTCAGCAGATGAGGGCCATGGCCGAGCCGGGGAGAACAGGGCGAGGCCCCACGTGGCGGGCCCCCACGGAGGGCTACTTACTTCTGAGTCTGGTTTCGGGCATGTAGTCGGCTTTGTCGTGCACCCACTCGGGACGGTGAGGCCGGATGTTGGCCTGGGAGGCGGCGTACGCCACAGGGTCGTTGCTGACCCAAGCGGTCAGGTAGATGTAGAACGCGCTGGGGTTGATGATGCCGTCCGCGTCCACCAGGCGCCGTTTGGTCAACTGCAAAATGGGAAGAAGAAGGTCCTTCAGAATGGGGCCGGGGAAACACACTCCTGTCTGGAGTTGGAAAGAAAAGCAGAGCCCTACACCAGCATGTGCAGCACAGTGGAGGATGCCCCCTCTTTGAACATACAAGAAAACACCTTTGGTTTCTTTCAAAATGCACTTATTGGAGGATGCCATAATCGGTGTGTTTGTAGCGCACACACAGTTCCGCAGATGGTCCGGGGAGTGACTGAACCAATTAAATCTGAACGCTAAAAGACGTCTGCAGCCAAGGCAGAGAATGAACAATCTGGAGAAACATATTTATAGGAGGGGAAGGGGGTAAAAAAAACCTGGCAAGAATCCCCATACACGTCTGTGTGCAGTTAACCTCTGCTGTTAACACTGAAGGAAATGCCACCCAGTAAATGGAGGAGAGCTATAAAAATAAAACAACATCTGTATAAATTTTGCTAACACTAGCCTCCTATGACCTGTGTATTCACAAAATGCCTATCGCCAGAAAGTGGAAGGGATTGGTGCACAGCCATGGTCCTCTGGGTACCCCGATTTTGGAGAGAGGTGGTCCCACTCCGCACAGCCCATCCCAGGCCACGGAATACTACGCTCCCTCTATCTAAAGTAGGTCTTGGGGCTCTGCTTAGGTGCAAACACTGTGACACACACACACACACACACACACATCCACAGAAATATATTTTTCCTGTTTACTTTAGATTCAGGCCTGACTCCAGTGCTTTTGGCCTTCTCAACAAAATGAGAAACACCAGTGACAGCAGTTAATAGAGAAAGAGTAAAGAAAGAAAGAGTCGAGTGACAAAATGAAATTTCAGGGGTCTGGATTCAATTAATCCCCAGGATATGGAACAACTGCATGTCTTCAAGCCGTCTCTGGAATTACAGAGAGCACAGCTCATGGCCTCCGTGCATGCAGCACGCTCTTCTCCCTCCCAGGCGCAGGAAGTGATATCCGGGGACCGGGCCCAATCCCATTTGTTCCACAGTGTCCCTGGTCCCCGAGACCCGGCCCGGCCACCGTGTATCCCCGTGCTATCTCTTCCACAGGCTCCTCTGCCCACATCCTTGTCAAACCTGACAGCCTGCTGCACGGGGCCATAAAGCACCAAGTTCACACTCCATAATAACTCTGAACAATGTACTTTGTAAATCTGTCACCTTTAATGCCAACAAAAAAGGGGAGACAATAAACAGTGCTGCTGGGAAGATCATTAGCATGATGGTTTTCTGCCTGAGGGCGAAGCAAGTAAGCTACGAGAGCCGGTAGTAGTGTTGGACTCTAAAGGGTCCAAACACGCTCCCCAACATGCCTGAGGAATCAAAAGGGATACGCTGGAATCTGAGCATCACAGCGAAGATGCAAGTGCAGTCAGAGATTACGATTACGGGAAAGAAACAGTCTTATTACCCAGGGGAGTGAGCAGAATGGCAAGGGCACTCAGGTTCCAAGGACTGGCATTTCTGTTTGCCCCACTCATGACAGAGCCGTCTGTCTGTCCTCCTTCTCCACCTGCTGGGCCAGGGGGACCCCAAGGAATCGAAGGCAACCAAACCTCCCATCCTTCTAGTAACCTCTCTGATCTCCTAGTTCATCCACCCACCCTAAATTCTGCTCATTCAAATGACAGTTACCATCCTTCCAAGTTTGAACAGAATTAACACCAACACGGTAATGAGTACTGGAATTCAAAAGAGAACAGTACAATCCAGCATTTCTAGTATCTGAGAGAGCCTGCCCTGCCTCAAGGGTTCTCAGGGGGAACAAAGGCCCCACGTGGTGATCCACATGTCACCACTTGACAGAGGAGCAGACTGAGGCACTCAGTTAAGCTGATGGGATGAAGTGAATCAGAGCCAACTCAATATTCTCCCAGCCCTTGGTGTCTCGGGTCTCCAGAGGGCACAGGCTGGGCGGGCAGGTGTTCTCTGCTCAATGACGCCATGGGAGCTTCCAGGGTGTAGAGGTCGGGGAGAGTACCTGGCTGATGTCAATGGGTTTATCACGGCTGCCAGTCTGCACCAGGAGTTTGTAGGCAAGGACCGCATCATCCGATCCATTTTTGTAATTGTTTGGCATGATTTTCCCAGTTTCCCAGTCACTGTCAAATGCATCCTGAAGTCCTAGAAAAGGCAAATGTATACAATGTATTAAGATTCTTCACCGTTATGATCCAGGCCGTAACTGGGTGGGCTGAGGACAAGGAGCCGGTATCAACCTTAAACACTCTGTGTGCTACTTGTTTTCCAGTTCAAGTTCAAGTGACACCCTTAGATTTTTCATGAATGAACTTCAGGTTGCTAATAATCACTGCTTCAAAGGTGGAAGAAGGGAATACTTGTTTCTAGGAAACAAATATACATGTTTTACCTTGACACAGAAAAGAAACCCCCTCTTCTCTCCCCAAGGCTATTCCGAAAGAAAGGAAGGGAGAGAGCTTGGGGGAGCGGTGGGCTGGGTGAGGAGGAAGCCGTACAGACTCATCAGGCAGTTCACACCGCCGTCAGGTGCTAAAGCCTTGGGTTCTTCGGTACAACCAGAAACCCACTCAGAGGGGGAAACGCGCCTTCGAACTCCCAACTTCAAACAGCAACTCAGCTGCTTCTCCAGCCCAGGGTGAGTGAACACGATTCTGTCAATTTGTTCCATCTGTTCGACTTGTGGAGCTAATACAAGCTGTGGGATCGGCTGCCAGGTTGTGTAAAGATCACAGCCAACACCTATTCACTCTCCACTGTTCCTCTTTGCCACCCTTCCTCAGAGCGGGGGTGTGCAGGAGGGTGAGGGAGGGATCTCGTGAGCGCCTGTGTGAGCAGGGAAATGCCTCACGGGGTAAATTTGGATCAGATTGAGAACAGGAAGCCACAGGCCAATACAAGGGGGCTCTGTGAGAACAGATGACAAACCGCAAGCACAGGGAGGGGAAGGAAAGGGCTTTCTGGGTGTGGGGGATGGGCGAGCCCACCAGCCCACCACACACAGCTGCGCTTGGCCTCTGTAATCAAAACCATCATTACAGACCTGATGGTTTGGCTACAGCTGTAAAGAGATAAGCGTGCTGGAAGAGAAAACAGGGCCCTGGTGACCCGGCCTTAGGGGCTGAGTGATCCCGTGTGCACACGCTCTCCCCTGACTCCCCCACCTCCTTTCCTCGGCCCTGCTCCCCGCCCTCCCCAATTCCCTCCCAAGTAGAACTCCCAAGCCCCAGCAGCTCAGGAAACCACATCTTTTGGAACAGGCTACATTCGCAGAGGTTAGACATGGCCAGTAAGAAGGGAAAAGAGTTCATTTCATGACATGCCTTGAGTGACTTCAGAGACACCCCCCCAATACTGGTCCCCTCAGTGCTTACAATAATTAAGCTCTGGGAGTTTGAAGCAGGGGGAGAGGGAGCACAGGACCCTGTCTCTCTCTTTAAAACCTTCCTGCCCACATTGCCATGGGCATTGTTTTTACACGAACAATGTGGGGATGAGGCCCCGAGGCTCCGTGCTGAAAGAAGGCCGTGTCTGGGGCAAGCGTGGAGGAGCAGTGGGCGGGAGGGACCACCGGCACAGGCCGTGCTCCCGACTCTCACACAGACTGTTTTTCACAGCAAGGCAGGCACACAACAAGCTGTATGGAGCAGATGTGATTTTATTACCTAAAACCTTTTTGTTTTTGAAAAAAAATAAACAGGAGAGGAAAAACAACCCCTCCTCCCTCCCCACTCCTCCAAAAGAGACCTGGTCTGTTTTCCCCACCTTAATAGAATTTTCATCACTTCATGGCCTGTGTGGGACTTTAACCCTTTCCCTCTTGACCCGTCAATCCTAAGGAGCAACTCACGCTCAGCGAGCATGGGGCTGTCCCAGCATTTTATACTCATCGCCCTTCTTACAACTACCTCATGAGACAGCCCTGTTAGCCTCACAGTTCTCGCTTTACAGATGAGGAAACCGAGGCACAGAAAGCAACGTGACCAAGGCCACCCAGCAGGGCTCCAGGGCAGGCTTGAACCATGGTTGCTCTAAATCACCGGAGCACATAGAGGTACTCAGAAAGTTCTCCGCTGAAGACGTGAATACGGTCAGCAGAGTTACCGTGCGCACCGATGATGTCTAGTGGTAAATAGGGTTCCAAAAATGTGAGTGTAGTTTTAAGATATGTATGCACTAAGAATGTGGGGACACCCTAGAGTGAGCCAAAGGAAGAAAGATTGGATCTGGGGAGGCCAACCCTGCGGGCGGCTCAGCTCAACTCATCACCGGCACCGCCAGGCTCCCGCGCCATTTGCCGTACTGGGAATACAACCATGAACGAGAAATAGTCATTGACCTTATGGAAGAGTGAAATCCTTCTCATCAGATTATTTTATTTTCTGACTAATTACCAAAAAGCTCAAGGAACATTGAACCGGCGGCCTAAGAGTACACGTACAACATGGGATTCTATACACAAAACGAGGGACACGGATTTGCCTCTGCTGCCCGTTGGCCAACATTTTATGCTCTAACACACGCACACTGTAGAAGAGATTTGTGACATTTTACCTACTTTACAGCAAAACGTGAAAGTTTCAGCTAGAACTTTTCTCATTGTAAATTTTTTGCTAAATGTTATTTTCTAGGGCAAAGTTCTCAGCTACTTATTCCAATTGTCAATTTCTCTTTGATAGGGGACCCTAAGAAGGAAACATTAATTTAAATTTTATCTGGACAGTTCAGTGTGAAACACAAACACCACTGGCTCATGATACGGTGTGGTTTTTATCTGCAATTTCGCCTTACTGGCATGTGTGTTTCAAGATGACCTGGGGTATTACCACTATTTTTATGAGTTAACCACCACCCCCGACCCCCTAACTAGTGGGATGTTGATAAAGACCAATAGCATGACATGGTTTTTAGTGATAATTCCACCAAAAACCAATGAGGCGTCCCAACACTTAACAGCCACACAAAACGTTTTCGAACAATTCAAGGACAGCTGATTCCTTGCAGGAAGTGTTCAAAGACCCAATCTATCCCTTGACAGGCCTGAAAACCCTCTAGGCAGCCCAACCATCCCGTTATCTGGCCATTCTGTGTCCAGTGCTCTCTGGTGCACCTCGTAAGAGTCATACGCAGAGTTCTTGGGCTGGCTGGGGCCCTGACTTGGGAGCACAATTGGGTCTTACTTGGTCTACGTGGGTGCTATGCGCTTAGCAATCAAAAGAACATGATTCAACTGCACCTTTAAAAAAGTGCGGTTCTCGAGTCCAACTGCTTTAGGTCTTTAAAGGGATGAAAGCATAGGGATAATTTACAATACACTATAAAAAGGTTAGCCCTCGCCACTGCCTGAAGACAATACCCTCTGCCCTCTTCCCAAGCTCCGCCTAACATGCCATATTGAGCGTCCAAAGGAATGGCTGAAGACACTGAAATCAATTCTACAATAACCCTCCTTTGCTCAGATACGGGCCCTGCAGCCGATCTCTTTGTCATTTGTGGCAAGCTATTTGCATGTCTTTGGCCAATGGGGATAAAATGAAAAGCAAGGAATCTCTCAACTGTCTGGTCCTGTTTGGACTCATTATCTGAAAGACACAGCCTCCCAAACTACTGTAAAAAAATAAGACTCGGAACAAATTCACATTAATCTCGGGAGCATGTTAAAAAAATAACATTAACGTCACGTAGTTCTCTTTGCCTTCCTCAAAAGAAGAGGTCAAATCTGGTATACGTGTATGAACAAAATTCTAGCAACAGAACTCAAGGCCAGCAACTATATTGAAGAATTTTCAGTCAGACTCAAGTTGTTTACCATTTCATGAAAACTCCCAGGGAAATTGGCTGCTTAATCTTTACCTACAAGTGTATTGACTTAAGACCAAAAAAGGCACTCGAATCTGTGTTTAAACAAGCCTAATTAAGTGGGAAATTAAGACAATCATTTGGATAACTTAAGCCAAAAAATGTTGGGGGCCATAATTATTTGGGTATTTCACTAAAAGCATTTTTGCCTGAATTGTGTGGATAATTATCTTGATTCCCCACTTCACTTTGCATGTGACAACATGGAATAAATGAACAGATGTTCTTGGAATCACTGAATACATTCATATTCAGTCAGCAGTTAGGAGCAAATTTAAGCCTTTTTTTTTTCCTCCAGTTGACTACTATTTCCTAGAAACGTTTCTAAGGACAAGGTAACAAGTTAAGAAAGGCATTTTAAAGCAGAATTTGATTATGAAATACTGTGAGATGTGATTAAGCACTGATAAGTTTATTTCACATGCCAAGTCAAAAGATGGTCAAAATATGGAATGTTACATTATATTCACAGAAGATGCAAAATTTACCGGTGTAAGTAAAGTCATAATTTGTCAATACGTCAGTCTAGAAATTCCATTGATGCTCTGATTTCACTTGATCATCAAACTAACCACCATCCAAAAAAAGAGCACTAGAAGCACCCAGCTCCCCATTTTATAACACACTTTCCCATTTCCTAATGTGCACCCATAAATTCTTAACAGAAGTTCCCGAGTCCCCCATCTGAATTGTTTGCATCATTTTATAGGTAAAAGCCAGATTTGGGAGGCTGTCCCAGAAACAGTCTATATAAGAATTTTAAGCAACACTTAGAAGTCAATGAAACATGTCAGTGTTACGTTATAATCTAACGCTTTAATAGTGAACAAAGGGAACTTGTGGAAGCTGCACATACCAAAGACTGAACGGTGAAAGTTTACAAACGGCGCACAGCCTCTAGCAGCACCTCACCTTGGAGCCAGTCTCTGAAGTAGTGCAGCCACATTTTGGGAAGCTGTTTATTTTCTTCCAACATGACATACTTCACATTGCTGAAACTCTTGTGAAGGTCGTAAAGTAAGTGCTGGATATTCGGGTAGTCTGCTTTCTGGGTGACTATATACATATTGTAGAAAGAAAAGTATTTGAATTGTGCAGCAATAAAGTCGTATTCTCTTGTTTCCCGAGGCACAATGTCTGTAAGGTCCAGCCCATCACGCACTCGGGTGGTCCCATAAAGGCTGACACCCAGCAAGCCCAGGAAAAGGAAGATCACCACGACCTGTAACACAGTAAGAGGCACAAGATCAGACCCAGAGGACAGGACCAACTGTCCCTTGACAAAAGGAAGCTGTTTGGTTCAGACATCACTTTTACTCCCACAACGGCCCTGATGAAGCATGTAGGGGTCATTCTCCAGAGAGAAAAATAAGTAATTATAGCAATCACATTTTAAAACAATCTCATGAAAAATAAAATGTTTACAATTGTTGATCTAAATTCACAGAAGCATTTGCTACATAGAGATTCACTCCTGTAGATGAGCTCATTAAAATGGCCCCACATGCTAAATGGACTGACTTTTTAGGAGGCCTGAATACATCACACCCAAAGAAGCAACCTGATGAATTCTAAAGGAGACTGTTTTGTTATTTCTTGAAGACAGGAAGAATCCTGTGTTGGTAGATTACCTTGGCTTTTGGTTTCAAGAGGAAAGGAGCATAATGTTTCTCGGCAAAAGATGAAAGTGTCCACTTGGTGCAGGGGGGCTCAAGGCAATGGAGGCTGGAGTCGGAGAACTGGGAGAGAAGGTCCCTTGTGGAGCTGGTGCTCTCAGGGCTCTGGCAGCTGAGGGTATCCTGGGTCATGGTGACGGGCTGCACGGAGATCTCGGAGCGTGGCTCGGCAGTGGTATAGTACACATGAGTGTGGGGGTCGTACTCTGTGCGGAGCTGCACTGTGGACTGCATGGTGATCTGGGTTTCATGGGTGAAGCTGTGGCTGCTGTAAGGGGGCGGGGGGCTGTAGCGGGTGTTATCATGAGTCTCCGTGTAGGCCTGAGGTTCAACCTGAATCACTCTGCTGACACAGGGACTAAGAGGGGAAAATATGTTGAAATGGTACAACTGAAACAGGGATACAGTGCTTTCATTTTAGCCAATGACTGACAGTATCCATTTTACATAGTTCTAATTTAGAAGAAACATATCATACTGCTGAGCTCCGTAAACACCACCTGATTTAACCATCTGGACATAGATAGACACTAGTAAGTCAAAGGAGGCCAAATGGATGGCCAATTCTGAATGTGACTGGCAAAATCAAGTTGCACGCTGATGAGCCCCTTTCAAAGTGCAATTCCTAAAAAACACACAACCCCTCCCCTCAAAACCTCACAACACCCCAAACGCTGCATTTTTTTCTGGATGGCTGGTTTTCAAGCCTTTGTTCTGCCTGAATCAATAGAGATATGACACACTCCCAATAATCAGCCAAAGTGATCCAGAATAGAAATAGCGAGCTTGTGGATCACAACCCCAGAGCTGTGAGTCTTTAGTCAGGGAGGGGAGAGCCCCAGTGACACGATATCCCCAACAGAGCATCCTTTGTCCATCATCTCCTCTGCCTCCATCACATCGGTATAAGCCCAGTAAACTATACTTTCTTCCAAGTCGACAGATGAAAGAGTTCTCTAACCCTACCGCTCTGTACCCAACAAATAAAGGCCATAGTAGCTCATGAAATTGTACCTTGTAAAACAGCAGAAAATATCCAACCTCCGGTCCTCACGTCGATACAAATCCATGCTGAGAATCGCAGGAAAAATTAGCAGAACCATAGCAAAATTGAATACCACTACTACAGCGGCCTGGAAGCAGGGGGGGAAGAAAAAGTAGAGGTCACCAGTATGTCTACTCCCAGTCAGAGGACTGCTCTAAAAATAAAAGAAGTTTTCAACAACATCCTTTCAGTTCTCTACTGAAGTGTTTAAACTTGAAATAGATGTTGGAGTTTCTCAACATTTTGCTTCTCTTCCATCATTAAGAGGCCATTTGACAGGAAGAGGCCCCGTCATTCTGATCCTTTCCATCTCTTAGAATTTCATGAACCCATGATGTACAAACACAGGAACGAAATGAGTCTTGCTCACAACCTAACCAAACCAAATCTACAAAGGCAGAATATGGAATATACTTGAGATGTTTTAATTGAAAACAAACATTCTCCTTTCAGAATATTTCTAAGAGTTTCACGCAACTCTGATTTTATACTCAGAGTATTTATACGTCAAGTGGATTGGGTATATCAAAATGTCACCTTTAAAACATGAAATAAAATTTCAAACACGTCCCCTGAGGTTTTTAATAGGCACATTCCAAATAGCCTCGGGAGTAGCCTGTGGGGTGCGCGAGCACAGTAACATGAAAGGTCAAGGAGAGTGAGGCAGAAAGAAATTCCTGTGTGTGATTATAGTATGCAGAATAAATAAGTACAGATTCAAAAGTCACTCCATAACCTAGAATAAACACGGGGCTAGATTCTGTAGTGCTTTGGCAAATCTCCTGCTGACCTAGTAAAAATTACACAATTGGGCTGTTAATAGGGGAAAGTCAACAGAGGACAGTTGAAAGGGCTCTCCCATTCAGACAGGAATGGAAAGAAGCGGCACACACACACACACACACACACACACACACACACAAAATCCAACTGGAATGCTAAGTAACCAAGAAATCATCAGAAATTTTTTTGAAAATTAAAAAGTCTCAGGAAGTTTTCCAAAGAACTACTCAGTTCTAAAACGTCCTCCAACTGGGTAAATGTCTCTGGGGGAGAAAAGAAAACCTGCTTATAAGAGATACCCAACAGAATCGGAAGAGACCTTTGCAAAGGGCTTCTGATAATAATTGTGAATTTATGCTCAAGGTGAAAGATCAAGGATGAGGTCTGGAAAGGTACCTTTCAATAATTAATTCCCTGTCAAGTCTACAAAACCAAAAAATCATCAAGAGTCTTGTTCTAAAAATTACCTAACTCCTCTCTTCTTAGTCTGCTTTGAAATTCCTTACCAACTTGAAATATTTGAAACCTGTGAACTTAACCGCTCTAATGAATGGTCTTTAAAGGCCTGCTGGATTGACTTAATACGAAAATCACTATTTTGACTAGAGGATTCATCTTAGAGACAAACACTTTAAAAAGGAAAGTGAGGACATGGTGCTGGGAACTGGAGACACAGAGAGAAATAAGACAAGGACTGACCTACCAAAAACTACAATCCAGGCTAAGAAATGTAGTAATAGGGGTGCCTGCGTGGCTCAGTCATTAAGTGTCTGCCTTTGGCTCAGGTCATGATCCCAGGGTCCTGGGATTGAACCCTGCATTGGGCTCTCTGGTCAGTGGGGATCCTGCTTCTCCCTCTCCCACTCCCGCTGCTTGTGTTCCCTCTCTGGCTGTGTCTCTCTCTCTGTCAAATAAATAAATAAAATCTTAAAAAAATATATAGTAATAAAAGCTTGCAAAGGGTTCCAGAGCAGCTTGGAAAGGGAGAAGTTCCCAGGTAGGGGTATGCATAGGGGTATGTGGAGGCAGGGGGCAGAGGGCAGTGGATGGTCAAGGGAGGTTCTCAGGGAGGTGTAGAAGACAAAACAGGCATCCGGTGGGGCCCAGGAGGAAGGATGTGCCATGTGGAGGAATTCCACAAGCGGTGTCTAAGAGGGAGACCCAGAATTTTGTTGTGGGCAGAGAAAGGACAAAGGGGGAGTCATGGGAGACCAGGTAGTTAATACACAATTCACTCAATCCCCACGGCAACCAGGACTGCCGTAATCACTGCTGACACTAGTACCTAACAGAGACTCCACAGTGCAAAGGATGGTCACTGGTCTGTGGTTACTGAGTAAATCAAATTTAGATGCAGGCTTGATGTTGAAGCCCTCAGCCTGACTGAGACCTGGGAGTTCTTGTCACCTGGTCACCTCCTGAGGGGATGGACACAGGCTGGGCTGGGTCTCCTGACCAAGCTGACCACAGGGATGCTGGCAGGGATGGGTCTGATTCTCAAGGAGATTTTTCAGGAAAACTCAATCCTGAAGGTGGAATCCTTTCAGCTTTTCTTTCTATGATCAGCATGTTTAGAATTTGGGGGTGGAATGCGACAGAACACTCCCGGGCATCTCACTCTGGACAAAAGTTCCTGAGGCTGCAGAACCCAAGCAGCCCAGGTGCTCTGGCAGGAACAGCACCGAGGCTTCCACGCTGGCTGGGGACACATCTGCTACCAGCTTTATCCCCCGGAGGAATCTGTGGAGGACATGAAGAACCCCCAAACTCTGAAGAGTAGCGTCCTGTCTGCACTCGCTGTCAAGTGGCGTGTTGCATACCTAGGGAGGACATATCCGGACAGGAAAACGGCACAACTTCCACGTCCCATTCAAGTGCACCCAAACGGTAATGACCAGCAAGCAGCAAGGACTTCTCAGCAAGGGAGAAGTGTCATTGCTGGTGCAAAGGGGAGTCTAAGACATTGTAAGAAAAGATGAGAAGATGATGGGGATGATTTGCACTGTCAATCGATTCTAATTACTGTGCTTGAAGGAAATGTCCCCACCCACTCTGTTCCCCCCGACCTGTGGCAGAACACCCACCGGCGCCCTGCTGAGACCCTTGCAGAGCAGAGACAAACTGACCCTGCCCAGAGGGCCCTCATCTAGAACTCCTCACTGTGTGGAACAATACAGCGTTCTGTTCTGGGAGTTTCCATTGAAGAACAAATCCCATTCAGGTACCAGCAAAGCCCCAGTGCAGGGCACTGGTACCCAAAGAATTCGACGGTGCCATTGCTTTCTGGTATAGAGGTGGCATTTGGACAGATGGATGGAGATTGGTAAGGAAGTCTAAGACAGTTTTTTTGGGAAAAAATAATTCTATTTATTTTGGTAAAGTTAGATAATTGCGAAAGTTCCAAAAAGACAAATCCTAAATTAATATGGATTTATTACTGGACAGAACCACTGTAATCTCTTTCTTTTGAGGCTTAATCTATAGAATCCTGAGAACACAAACGCAAATGGATACCTGGAGGCACAATTTAACCCAATCCACTAAAAGAAAGAGAAGCTATATCACGATCAACTTTGAATGTCAATATATTTAAAAGGAAACCAGTGTAAATTTCTGATGGCTACAGCAAAAAGCAAAGCACATTCACTCTCTTTTCTTCTTACATTTTCTCTTTCTTTCCTTTTCCTTATTTATTTTTTTAGTTTGTTTTTTTGACAGAGAATGAGCCAGTAATATGGGAAGCCAGTCATTAATACATGAGGACTCCTGGAAGGCCTCAGTTTTCTAAAGTGGTACCCCAGGGGCTTGGAATAGAAATGCAAAACTCACAGTACTCATTTCATCTCGGTAAGGTGCTTGCTTACCTTGGGAGAACTTTAGCGTACTGGATTTTCTAAAAGGCGTAAGGGAAACTCATGTAGCTTTTCAGACCACCACACCATAGGGTATCATTAAAGGACAGTATGCCTTGATGAATCATCAGTGTACTGAGAGAGGAGAGGACAAAATGAGAGAGAGAGACACAAGAAGAAATGAAGGAGTGTGAGGCGGAGCAGAAATAAAGAGCAGCGAGGAAAAGGCGAGCGGAAAAGGAGAGAGGCGGGAGAGGGTCTCACTGTTACAGGAGGGGGACAATTTCTCAACACTGGCGTCTGCTGCAGGTGAAGGCAGGAAGATTGGGAGACTGCAGACAGCTGTACAGATACCCATGCAGAAAGGCATTCTAGAAAGGTAATTGTCCCAACACTTAAGCGGGCACCTTTCAGTTGTCTTCCACATCACTGAGCAGTTAGGCAGCTAGACATGTTTTCATTTTCTTATTCAGATTTAACTTTATCCATTAGTTCACTTACTACTTCTACTTTTAGATATTTATAATAAACCCTTTATTCTTTTCTTTTCTCTCTCTCTCTCTTTTTTTTTTTTTTTTTTTTTTTTTTAGTATTTTTTTTTTCGGGGATGATGGTTGCAGTAATTGGTACAAAAATCTTTTCTCGTGTTCTGTCTTACACTAAGTATTAAGTAAGTCTAATGTCCCAGACACAGCAGGATCATTAGTTGCTCAGGTCTTCATTAGCCATCGCTGAAATGAAATTCAAATATGAAGACTACGAAGGAGCGAAGAGTGTGGACAAAAGCATTAAGAGAAACCAAACTCATGATTTGTCAGTTTCTCTTCCTGGTCACAGGAAATCGAAATCACCCTTCTGGTGATTAACAAGAGTAAAGCAGTAGGAAGAAGCTGGATATAACAACAGCTTAAAAAGTGACCCCAAGGGGGCACCTGGGGGCGCCAAGGTGGCTCTGTTGGATAAGCGACCCCAGCTCTTGATTTTTGGCTCAGGTGACGATGTCAGGATTGTGAAATCGGGCTCCGCGCTGAATGTGGAGCCTGCTCTCTCTCTCCCTCTCCCTCTGCCCCTCCTTCTTAAAAAAAAAAAAAGGTGATACTGAAAGTATTTTCCCTTAAAAACCTGGCCATCTCATAAATTATCATCATACTGAGAGATGACAGATGATATCATACTGATAGAGAAAAAGGGGGGAATGCCGCTGCTCCTCTCTTGGAAAACAGTTGAAACTTTAAAGTGTGAATTTAATTCACAAAACTTCGGTAACATCTTTGCAATACCAAAACCTGAAACCATTTGGGGCTTAGGAGGACCCCATCCCAAACCGGTCAGTTAGCGTTCTTCCTCCGCTTTGCTGACCGGTGTCAGGATTCCTCAGAGTTTCGAGCAGCCGCAGAGCCCTGCCAGCACTCCAGACCAAGCACAGAATGGACCAGAGCTGTGTCCCCAGCCTAGGGAGCTCTCCATTCTTACCGTTCGTATAAGCTGGCTCTCTGCGCCAAAGAAATATCTTGGTGGCCTCTAGGTGTAGAAGGGTCTGGTTTGGGAAGAGAGAGCAGAACAATGCAGGAGCCACACTGTTCTGCAGAAGGAGGGCGGAGGCATTTTGACTTTTCTTTGCAGCCTGAGAGGAGAGTAGGAGACCAAAAGAAGAGAGAGGGCTGGAAGAGACTGTGGAGGAGCTAAGGGAAGAGGTGGTGAGTGCGGGCCCACCGACAAACCCCTACAGGCGGAGGATGGCCCCTACATTTGGATGGTGGGAGCTAGTCCAGCGGACCCTCGAACAACACGGGTTTGAACCTCACGGGTCCACTTCGAGGCTGACTGTTTCCAGGAAACACACTGCAGCACTCGAGATGTATTTTTCTGTTCCTTAGGATTTTCTTAATAACGTTTCCCCCTAGCTTATTTTGTTATAAGAAAACAGATGGATTAGGCATGTGTTAATTGATTGTTTATGTTATCAGTAAGGCTTTCAGTCAACAGCCGCTATTAGTAGTTAAATTTCAGGGGAGCTCAAAGTTATATGAAGATCTGACTGTGTGGGAGGGGTGTCAGCATCCCCAAACCTCATGTTGTTCAAGGGTCAACCGTCCACAATTCTAAGTGATCACCTGGCCTGGTCTATACTGTAGCCTCTTCCTCTTGGTCAGGAAAATCTGCTCTGTACAACTGCCTTGTGTTGGTGCTGCTTTAGGGAAACAGAGAGGGTGGGTGGTGCTTTGGGGCTGAGGCAGCCAGCAGGGAAGCCCAGTGGGCACTGGCAGCAGGGATGGCCACGAGCTAGCCACACTGTGGATGAAACCAGAGGACTTCCGGAACAGGGGGGCTTCTCAGCACCCTATACAGAGTGGCCCTCGTGTTGTTTTAGTCTCACTATACAGCGAAGGACCACTCCCTAAGGCAGCAGGTCTTGGGGCTACCTGGGCCCCAGGCGTCTGGGCTCTAGGACTGAAAGAAGGGGGAAGAGCCCTGGGATGTATTTTAGAGGGAGTGTTGGGTTTGTTGCATCAGGAAGCTTCTACCGGAAGAGCCCCAGATGCGGACACGCTACTTGGATTCTGGCAGCAGTACCGGAAGCACGTTAGAGGGGGAGGGGAGGCGGGCTGCTCGGCCTCCGTGCGGTGCTCGCAACACGTTTCAGCACTGCAAACTCACCTGGAGGGAGAAGGCTCGCAGGGCGGGGATGGGGATCAGTGCGGCCATAAAGAAGGCGGTGACGTTGCTGATGGAGGTGAGGGCCACGCTGGCTCCCGTGCGCTTGAGGCACTCTCCAGTCCTGTCCTGAGGACGAGAAACCATAGTGCTGAGAGCTGCACAGCGCGGGGTCCCCTCATGCCACAGGTCGGGCTGACAAGTTCAAATTCACGACACAGGGAGACAACACGTAGTTTATCATGCTGACGTCAGAATGGAAGAAAGGGTTATCTCTGCCCACCCCTGATACTGGCATCGAAAATGCTATATAGTCCTATATATATATATAGACCTATATATATATATAGTCCTATATATATATAGACCTATATAGTCCTGTACCATTCCCGACTACCGCATCCAAAGCACAGAGCTGCGAGATAATCACTGAAGTCAATTTTTGGGATTTAAAAGGGGTGTGTTGGGAGAGGAGGGAAGGTGGGGACAAAGTGATCCAAAAACCCCACAAAAAATCCAGAAAAGCAAATATGGGCTTTGAAATAGGTGTTCTGCAATTCTTCTCATTCTTTCACTCATTTAGAGGCAGTAACGTGTCATTGACTTGGTCTACTAGGCCAGATTAAAGAAAATTAAAGGACAAATACTCAAGAACGGAGGTGATTTTGGCTGGCTCCAAAGCTTTCTTCTTTTGTTTTTCTATTACCTCAAAAGGGATTCTTTTATTCTGTCCTGTTTCACTAAACGCATGTGCCAGAAGGAAAACGTCATCCACGCCAACGCCAAGAGCAAGAAACGGCAAAACCTGCAGTGAACGCAAAGGGCAGTGCGTTAGACACATGAAGTCCAATTTGGTTTCTTCTAGAGCCATGGGGAACATTGCTCCCAGCAGCTACCCTCAGGACAGCTTACAGCAGCTCATGGTGAAGAACCTAGTTCCCAGGTTAAAATCCCCTGGATCTAGCCCTCTGGCTCACAGGAGGTCTTATCCATTTCTATTTTTAAGCCCTACTGTTTTTTTTTAAGCTAATAAATGAGAAGGAAGCTAACTCATCAGAAGCAGTGGTTCTCAGAACACCATCCCTGGATGTGCATCATGGAGAGCAGGTAATTAGAAACTCCAGGAGCGGGGCCAGCAGTTGGAGATGTCACCAGCCCTTCGCATGACTCTATGGCACACTCATGTCTGAGAACCATGGCTCTAATGAATGACCTTCATTCACTGCGTTGATAAGTGAAGCTTCTTTACCACCACCAAGTCCCCACAGAACTTCCACCCAGTGCCAAGGGCTCCACTCAGAAGACAGCAACCCCCCCGCCTCCCAGGAAGTGTGGCATCTTGGTAGTAAAGGTCGGAGGACCCTGTAGGTGACATGGACACGGAGGAGGCCACTGGGCCAAGCCCGGGGAGGGGTGTTTGTCGACAAACAGTAGACGGATGGCTCCTTGAGTACCTGAGTTGTTGCAGCGTTAAAGGAAATCCCGATCAATGAGCACAGGCCCAATCCTGCAGCCACTGAGAGTGCAACCAGCAGGACGCCAGCCAGCCCCACGGCACCCTGGGACTTGGAGCAGTCCCAGCGCAGCATGGTTAAACAGGCATAGGCAAGCTGCGAGCAGAACAACGGGGTGGGGGGCAGGTGAAGGAGTGAGGAGGGGGAGACAGGGAGGGGGAGACACAAAACAAAAGCCAAACATTAGAATGTGTAAGGATTCTAATGTTTTCCCCCACCCGTCACCCCAAATCAAAAGGTAGAACTTATTAAATCCAACAACAACAATTTACACTACAGACATCACACGAAATGATACGAGTCAAAGATGGGCAAACCGCAAATGGGAGAAAATGCTTTACACGACCACTTCTGAAATCAAAGCCGAGCTCTCTCTGTCTTGGATGCATGTGTGTGTTAAAGCAGTTAAAAAGCAGGGGCGGTCATGGAAGAGATCAAACCCAAAAACTAAACCAGCTCTCCGCCCGTGCTCCCCCAGGAGAACTGAACTGACTGTTACCATCAGTAGGTAGCCACTGGCCACTCGGATGACACTGACATCAGAGAAGGACTTCAGGATGTCGTCCAGGGTCGTTGTGGTAAAGGAAAGCACCTTCTGAGTGGAGTTGGGAGCAACACTTTGATGAACCACCTGTGGTCATGACATAAAGTCCCAAACAGAACGGAAGTGTCAGTGAGCTTCAAGAGCAGACCTTGGGGGATGTGTCCCCTCCACTCAAGCCTCACTTTTTTCTGACGCACTAAAAAGAGTTCTACATGATTCCGGTTTGAACTTGGGACTGACGTGAAACGACCCTGGTCCCGGGACAATGAAGGCCACTGCCGATCAGCTGGCAATGTGGTGCCATGGGTGAGCCGGTGCCCGACGCCTACGGTACCTCTAGGTCCCACGCACCTGAGGCCAACCTTCTCCTCTCCGCGGCTCTACAACAGACCTGTGGTCCCATCGGCTCCCCCCAATCCAAAACAACTCATTCTTGTGGCCACTCCTCCCCGCTTCATTCGCTGGCCACTTTTAAAAGGTCACATGCAGCTCAGCAGAGGTCACTGCTTGGGAAACAAAGGCCAGCTCCTGTCACATGACCTAACCAAGGGGGAGTGCAGCTGTGAACAGATTCAATGCTTTGCTAATGTTTTCCAGACACTTTTTCTTGCTAACCCAGTGTTTTTTTAAACACTGTTACGCCTTTGCTCTGGAGTTCACAATTGGTTACTCAAAACGTCTTACGCATCCCAATTAAAATTAGCCATCACCCACACAGGAAGGTTTTCCATATCTAGAAAAGGAAAAAAAGTTTTCACTCCACCAGGTCCCCAAAATGACGATTTGTTTTGAAAACAGGTTCCAGTGAAAAAACAAAACAAAAAAACCTGTTTTAAAACATGGCAACAACGAAGCACGGAGTAACTGAGGGGTTTGTACCCAGATTCAAAGGTGGGCATTGGAATGCGCCGATTTACCTCCACGTATGTCCTCTGCCAAGCCTCCAGGATGGCTGCTGCCTTGTCCTCGTTCCAGTTGATGTGCGAGACATACTCGTACCCCTTGAAGTGCTCGTACATTTGCTTGGGAGTCATTAACTGAAACATGGTCTGCAAGGCGTGGGCACTGTGACAAGGAGGCAAAGACACGACATCAGCATTCCCAGGAAGCTGTCCTCACTGCTTAAACTCCCGAACGCACGCCCCCCCCCCCCCCCCCGCCTCACTCACGGCCCTTCTCTCCTACATGAGCACATGTTTCCATTAAACGGGACCTGGATGGTGATTTTATTTAATAGATGGATGTACCATATTAAAGGTGTAACCTTACAAACCTTTTACAGATATACCCCAAAATTCAATTAATAAGCAATTTCCTTTCTCAGTTTCTAGTCAGTGAGACAGGAAGGGTAGGGGAGCAGATAGCTTGACCAGATACGCTGGGCTCAGCAGTGTGCGCTCGCCTGTGCAGAAATCCCAGCCGACAGCTCTCCCCAGGGAGAGATCTCAGATGGAGAGCTTGACGCTTGACTGAGGGGAGTCCGCGAGTGCCCAGAGGAGGATTCTTGTTCAGCCGTCAGCTGTCGGCCAGTCTGTGACAGAACTGAGCTCCTACCGCTCCTCCCTACTCGCTGTGACCACTGCCACCCGCCTGCCTTACACTTGTCCCCATTTTCTACATAATAGGTCTTCTACAAACCTACGGTCACTAACTACGGTCCCGATGAAAACAACAAATCTCCGCTTGAAAAATTCCCCACAAGGTGGTTTTTCAGGCTTGTCTGGTCCACTAGTATTTCCTAATATTCTATTACACCAGACGGCTAGCTAGGATAACAGTTAGGTATTAGTACAAATACACTTGCAGATGTCAGGAGGGAAGTGGTTTCTGAGGAAAGGACAAAAAAAAAAAGATGGCTTGGATTTTTCCTCCATGTGCTGGATTACCTGACAAGCTTCCCGGTGCTATTCCTGACTGTGCCACCCACAATCAGTTCCTCCTGCCAGTGCATATACTTTCTGGATAATCCATGACATCCACCGTTCAAAACAAGGGCCACATCAAGAGGCTAAAATAAAAAGACAGCCACATAATTACGGGAATTAGCAGGCAGGTCACATGCCTTGTTAAAATCCAGTGCATTAAGGGCTTGTTTGTTTCAGAGAGAACATTAATAACAAGGCTAATGAGAGGCATACGGCAAATCTTGCAGCAAAATTTAGCTCTATAAACAAACTTAGCTCCATAGACAAAAAAGGTCGTTGGAAATCAAATCTTAAAAATGAAAATAATAGGACTAGGCATGGGGGGGAAGACAGCAAGCTTTGCTCTCGGTCCCCGGGAGCAGAATCAATGACTGTACTCACTTTGGTTGCGTTCTTGTTGGGGGCTGTGGCCGGGCAGTCTGGATCAGCCGGGTTGAGGCAGGGCCGGTCCATATAACCATGACCAACTTCGGCCTTATTCAGCATTTCCTCCCAGCTGTCCACTTGATAGTTTATTTTCTTTAACTCTTCCAGGAATTCCAAAGGGTCAAAGTTTGTCCACTGCAAAGGAGGCTTACCTCTGTGAAAGAAATTAGAAGGCGAGACCATGAAAAGAGGCTTTTCCAAGCCTCTGAGCCTGTGCAGATCCGTGTATACTGCGTCCGGGCTGCACGAGGCTTTCTGGGAGTGCTGCAGCGTGGGGACCCTGGCATGGAAAACGAGTGCTCCTTTCCCGGGGATCTGTATGCAAACCCGGTCAGGAAAATAACTCATGAATGGACATGGCAAGCAGAGAGCTTGTAAGTTAACGAAGAGATCAAAGGCTTGTTTCTGGCTAATATGTCCTCTTTAGCACCTGAAATCAAAATTTGCCGAAGGGTGCTTCTTAGCAGAAGACTGAAATCCAAAAATAAGGGTTGGGGGTGGTGGGGCAGTGGCGGGGGGCGGGGGGAGAAGAGGGAACCATGATGTCAAATTAGCACTTGCCAGCCTTATAAATGCTTTGTAAATGTCATCAATCAAAATATTTGATCTCCATTACCTTCAATAATCCCATACTTATGAGCTCTCTCTGACAGCCTGGCAGTGGACCCCGAAAACCCCCTGCTGCCTCTGCCATCACCACCATCAAGGCCACTTCCCCCCACACTCACTTTTGAATCTGTGCTGTTGACAGACCAGAAAGGCTTTTGGCTGCCTGTTATGTGGTTCAAACCACACTGTAGCTGCTTAACCAGGCTGAAGTCATTATTCAGAATCTCCCAACCAGAAAACACAAAACCCCTTATTTCCCATCTAAAACTGTACACTGAAGGTCAGGGTATGGCCACTGCAAATTGCTTTTGCAGATATGCGTAAGCTAGGACAGAAACAATAACCCAAGCACGAACTCTTGCATAATTAACTGAAAATGTCTACACTGATTAACAATTATTCCTTAAACGATGCGGAGTATATAATATCCAACTGGTAACCCGTGAGGCATCCCCTACCATGGCCTTCAAAGATAGCGGATTTCCCCCTTCAATGTCATTACTGTGATCCCAAGAAATGTTAGTGTTTAACTCTGCAGGAGGATCCTGAACTTTAACTCAATATATTTAATTCTGACATGTACGCACTAATACATTCCCTTTCCTTACAAAATAACTCAAACCTATGGCAGTGCCTGGTTAGCAAAACTTTGAACACTTTATTAAAGAGTTAAAAATCATACATACTCTGAAAGAATTTGCATTTTATTTGCATATAAATAGGTTGGTAAAAGTGAATGAAATTTAATGGTGCCTTCAGAACTTTTTTTTTTAAAAGAGGAAAAACATTCTGCTGCTCTCCCCCAACTGGTCACTCAAAAAATGCCCGTGGAATTTCAATGTTTTTATTTCTTGTTCAAAACTGAAATAGAATAAACAATGATCCAGTAACATCCGAAACATTCTAAAGTTTAGAAATCACAGACATCAGAAAATAAGATCACATACTTACAGTAGGTATGCTGTCCCAGATTGTAACTTTGCCCCTTCCCAGAAGCAGTCCAAAGGTGTAATAATTAAACAAGGGTAAAGATATTCTATTATCTGTCAGAGTTAAAAAGAACAGGCCACACGTTAGGATAACACACACCACTGGGGAATTTTTGAGAATTTCTTGCAAAAAAAAAACAACAAAAGGAAAATATACCTGATCCATGTAACCTGTTTCTGTGATAAGTTCTCCGGATTTGTAACACAAGTGTTCCAATTTCCACTGTCTAGTGAAATAGAAAGCAGAGACAAACATTCTCACTGTAATAACCTAAGGAAATCAGTGCAAGATCGGAACTATAGAACATCTAGAAAGAACTGCAATTTCGATCACTTTTAAGTATCTGTCTAAAGGAGCACAACTTTTGCCAAGTAAAGACTCAACAGGCTTGCTTTAATGAATAGATAATACTCAATTGTAACTAACATGTGGGTGTTTATGTAAATGAATGCTACCAAAGTACTTGAAAAGTCTTGTTTTCTTAAGTATCCTCCCAATAATCTTGTTTACACCATTAATCTGCTTTTTCCTACATACATTACAATTTCAGGGAAGATAATTCAGTTGAATTATTACAAATTCAAAATAAATGGAGACTAATTAGTAAGGTTTCTAATATATTAACATAAATTCAGGTGGGAAAATATTACTTTTTTTTTTTTTTTTTTTTTACTGGCAGTTAATGTCCTTATTAACAGTTAGTGTTCAAAATGAATTCTCCTGCTCTTAACCATGAATGCTGTAAACAACACTGCCAGGTGGCCAGATTTCCTACTTTCCAGCTTTTTATTCTTGTTCTATAGACATGACATTAAATATACTGATCCACAATTACCTTATTATCTATCACCTATCTCTTATTCTGTCATCTCTACAAAAATGCTCTGTAAACCCATGCCTTTCCAACTGTCTCAGGGAGATAAACTTACCTTGAAAAAAGAGGTATGGCAAAACCAGAAGACAAAAACATTTTAAAGTCTCTCTAAACCGCTCTATTTTATTGGTCTCCTCTTTTTTTTGTATCGGTCACCCAAAGGAACGTTCTGGACTTAGCCCACTTCCCTATGGAACCTTCACATCTATCCTGCAAGGTCCCCAACGAAATGCCACCCCTTCCCACTAGGCTATTACTGCCCAGTGCTACTGAAAATCACCCCTTTCTCTTGAACTCCAGGGCACTGCTGGTCCGATCTGCTTCATACCTGGAGTACCTGGACTGGGAGTGCTTATGCTTGGCTTTGGATGTACCTATCTACACTGACGTCTTCCCTCTTTCTAACTAGACCATCAGCTCCTGAGTGAAGGGCTCAAGTTATTCATCCATCCTTCCACCCACCCACCTACTGATGCATCTATGTATATGTTCATTTTGAATTCCACACAGCATCAACATAAACTATCTGGCCTGAGGAGGTCCTCAACATCACTTGGTCAGTGAACTCACTTCCTTGAGAAAGGGCATGGCTGTGCATTAGAGAAACCTCCAGGGGATCCTGGAGCCAGAAGAAAGCATTTGAAACCTGGCTCTAATGTTTAATAATTGTAAGACCTTGGACAAATGCTCTAATTGATCTACTTCCTGATTTTCTTGCCTAAAAAATGAGAAGGGTTGAACTAGGTGTTCTTTAAAGCTCATTGCAATGCATACATGTTCTCTGGTTCCATCATACATAAAGAGTGTAATTTTATTGTACAGACACCCACATCTTCTCCTTAAGTGTGTAAGTGACAAGTCCCTTCAAGATAGGGTCCCCCTATGTTAAAAATGGGTCAGCATGCTTGCAGTGGCCCTAGAATACCCATTTCCACGTTCTTTACGGGGCCTCTCCTTACAAACTGTGCAAAACTGCATTGGGTAGTTGCTTCCTCTATAGAATGGGAGAGATGTGCTGATTGAGCAGGGTGTGCTCACTAGTCAAGTTTGCCTGACCAAAGTGCCACAGTATCTCCTTACGTTTTCCCTTTCATCCATTACATGTATCTCATTTTGTTCTCAGAACCCCCTGAGGATAGTAGACCACATGTGATCAGTAATTTTCAGATGAGGCAACAAGAAAATGTGACTCATGCTGGATGCTATGGCTTGGTCTCCAGCAACATGGGTCTTAGCCCATCCAGTTGAGCCCATGGAGAGAGGAGGTTACCACAGCAGGGATAAGTCCAGATTTTCCTTTTATGCTTTCCCTTCATTCTCCCTGGCCACTGAGTATGTCTACAGGGCCACTTACTCACCTCTCCTGTGAAAAACTGTACTATCAACCACTCAGTTAAAAGGTGCTGCAAAGCAGTGCCTGGGTGGCTCAGCTGGTTAGGCGTTTGACTCTTGGTTTTGGCTCAAGTCACGATCTCATGTGTCGTGGGATCGAGCCCTGTGTCAGGCTCCACGCTCAGTGTGGAGCCTGCTTGGGATTCTGCCTCTCCCTCTCCCTTCCCTCTCCCTCTTCCTCTGCCTCTACCCCTACTAGTGCTCTCTCTCTAAAATAAATAAAAAAATAAAATCTTAAAAAAAAAAAAAAAAAAGAGGTGCTTAAAAGCCTTGGTGAGGGACAGGATAAGGTTAGGTAAATTTCAACTCTGTGGTCCCCTGAAAAGAGGGTTTAGTGATAGTCCTCAATAGCTCAGGGAGAAGACCCAGTTCAAATTCATAATCTAGGCAATTTAGTCAATCAATAAAATCCAAGTGCCCACTGTGATCTAAACGCTGGGGTGCAAGGATGGACAAGAGATGTGGTCCCTGCCCTGAATAACTCACTGTTTCAATAGAGAAGAAAAAGGACTGTCAGTTTTGAGCCAGAAGTCTTTGTATGTTTTTACTATACCCACAGCATTGTTAAATTAGCTATGAAGCTAAGGGATAATATTTTGTGAAGCAGTATATGACTCCTGTCAGTAAGAGTTCACCATAGTGGCTCAACCTATTGGACACTTTGTAACACATACCAACTGCCATTAACTGTGGGGAGTACGAAGTAACCAGAAGTAAGTTCTTACTTTTTCTTTCCCCATTCTTTTAAAGTCGACTAAAGGCAATTCCAACGGTAACTTCTCCAAAACCATCTTAAGCAATGGCATGTCTTCAGAATGGGTATATAGTCCCACAAACAACTGCTTGAAGGATCAGATTCATTTTGGGTATAGAGGGCCTAGATACTTACTGAAAATACATTAACATGTATTTGATTTATCACCAATCTCTAGAAACAAAAATCAAGATTTTTTTTTAAAGAATCACTTCATTAGAAAACTATTTGAACTAACACTCTAAGCATATTTCCAGGGCAAGGTAACTTACTAAAACCAGCAGCTTCTTCCCACCAGCTTACCTGTTATACATATATACATGGACTCGGCTGGCCTGGAGGGCTGAGTCCAGGTGTTGTCGGAGGGCTTCCGGGGTCAGGACATTAGCACCGTCTTCTTTCGGGGTCTGAATCATGAGTTGAGGATTAAACATAGCCTCTTCTCCAATCTTCTGGCGAGTATAATTTAATTCACGACTTACTCGTCCACCAACTGACAAACATGTACAGGCTTCAATTAGAACAGCAACATCCCCACAAATTCATGTTCTGTTATCTTACCAGAGGTGCAGGATACGTGATAAATGATCTCTGGTCATGAACACGTATGGCAGACATTTGAGGGTGGGGGTGGGTAACATTCACCATTATTATTATTGGCGATGTTCATTTTACCAATAAAAAACATAAGAAATATTCACTAAACCCGTGAACAACTGTCCTGCCCATTGCATATGCAAACTTAATGCATACGTGTTTGTGCACCTCCTAACTAAGACACCATCTGTGTGGAGGGGGAGGGGGAAGGAAAACTTGAGACACCTTTTCCCTGCAGTCCAGACCAAACACCCCTGTTACAATTTCTTTCACTTGTGTAAACAATGTGCCCCTGCAGCCCAGTTCAAGAGAAATGGCTTCAATTTACAGTCTTCTTCTAAATAATCTAGCAAAAGAAACAAGGAAAGGTGGCAAATGTGTGTTCAGCACAAAACGTGCCAGGAGAAGATAAATAATGTGATTCACATCAGCTGGACTTGAGAGGAACCAAATGTCTCCGCCATGGCCCGGACGGCCAGTCTCTGGGTCCTGGCTCCACCAGACTCATCTATCTGGTCAGCATCCTGGAAACAGAGGTGCCAGGTTCTGAGCGGCCCGGAAGCAGGCAGCCTGTGTTCCAGAAGCTTCCCATGTGATTCTGAACCTGCTGCAGAGGCCAGAACCCCGGCCCCAGGACCAACCGGCTCTCCAGCAGGCCAGCCAGAGTGGGGCAAGCCACAGGCCAGGGCAGCAAGGTATGAGGCACATTGTTACTACAAACTGCTTTTTTGCCTTCTTTCTTAGGTCCTGCGTTATATTTTAATTATGGTTTTAGAACAGGCCAAGTGCAGAATGCTGCCACCTGGCTGGGAGGTATGGGGGAAGGGAGTTTCACTTCCCAACAGGGTAGATGTGCAGGGATACCGAAGGAGAGTGCTCTTGGAGAGGAGGGTGCTTTGACCCAATAGAGCCACAGGGAAGGGGTTATTCAGGAAGGGGGCAGGAGGGCAGCAGAGAGAGAATCCTAGAACAGCACCCCACCCCCTTCTCCCCTTCCCTACACACACACTCCAAGGCCAGCTGATGAATCTGAACAGTGAGTCTGAATAGTTCCTGAAGTCGTTGGTAAGTTGCATGTTTACTCAATAACAGGCCTTCAGCAGCAGTGTAGAGAGACCCTTCAACAATCATCCTAAGCTTTCCCACGAGGAGGAATCCTTTTTCTTCAAATTTAGTATTCAAGGACATAAACATTTGGTTTGGGCAAGTAAGTAAGTACTGGGAACAGCGGGTTGTTTAGCTCTCTTGGCATATTTTATAAACAAGGGGGCAGGCTAAAAAAGCAAATAATGCCCTCATTAGGAAAGCTAGTCCAGATTCACAGACTGGTAGGATCATTTGTGCAGGTCCACGTAGATGGTCAAGGCCACTGAGGACTACTGTGAGGTGAGGCGGAACATACTGTGGGGTGTGTCAAAGAGGAGGAGAACGGTGGGGGGCCGGCATGGGGGAGAGAGGAGGGGTAGAGAGGGGGAAATTATCAATCGGTTACAGAACCTATTCACCCTCCTGGGGCAGAAAACGTTAACAGATGCCCTGGGGAATTGTGAGGACCCTGCCACCATTCTGAAGTTAAAGAAAGACCACATAGGAAAACATAGGAAACTTGCAACAAAGGATAAATTTACAAGAAGTCCCAGGCCTTTTCAGGATGCTCTTCTAAAGCTGCCTGCAGGCAGGGTCTGGCTCCTTCTGGCAGGAATCACAATGCATTATTTCAACCAATTAACTAGTGAACTGAATTAGACTCAATCCACATTCTCTGGAGATAAAAAGGCTGTTTGAGGCTAAAAAGCCAATTATTAGTCCAGAGGTCACTTCTGAAAAGCTACAGAGCTCCAAGCCAAGGAGCTCCAAATAGCCTTTTGTGGGGGGGGGGGGGGGGGCTGAACTCCTTCCTTCCTCTTTTTTGGCCATATGACATCAATGCCCCACACCTATAAATCATAAATATTTCCACCAGCTCCTCAAGCATTGGCATAGCATACGATCCCTTGTTCTGCTTGCAAAGTCCTGCTTCCTTTTATCTTTCCTGAACCTTAAGACTTCAGGTAAATTAAAACCATGAGGTACAAACAAAAGAGTAACAACAAAGTGGGACTACAGACAACCCCCCCTCCTCTTCCCTGCCTAAGAGCAGCTGCCTGCGACTATAACGGAAAAAGGTGAAGCCCCAAGAGAAGAGCGCATACAAAAATAAAGATCACATCAAGGTTCATGCTCCTGGAAAGAATTTTCTACGTGCTTTCAGACCAACCTTACAATAGGTCAATTATTTTATTACAGGGGGTGTCAGAAAGGATGCTATTTGCTATAAGATACAAAATGTACTTCATAGGCTTTATAGGGTCACTTTTTAGATGGTTTAAGGTATACATTTTAAATAAACGGAAACATTTTAATAAAGGTGTGTGTCTGTCATGTCTCTGGAATTGAAAATCTTTTTATTTGTTCATCTCTGTGCTCTAGGGATAAATTTAGTATTTTGCTAACATAACAACTGGTTTCAACCAAGACCAGACTATCACTGTGGGTAGACAGAACAGCTAGAGATGAAAGACCCTTAGGTGGTTGAAGTGTCTTCAACTACCTAAGCTGTATCCCACTTTTGAGTACTGTTAAATTCAACTTCTTTTGAATTGAATACTACATGGCCATATTTTATTTAGTATTTCATCTTATATTTAACCAAATATGAATGCCTTTGCAAAATTATTCAGTCACTTTAAAGAAGTCTCACTGACATCCACTTTCCTTGACAGACAGCCACACCACAGTTCATTCACCTGACGAGCAGATGAAGACGCCTACTGTGCGCTCAACAGTGGTGTGCTACGGTGGGTGAGAACAGCATGTTCTCAGCTCCAAACAGCTCACTGGCCAGTGAAGCACAGGGCTGACAGACAGACACATCAATAAGCTAACTTCACGGCAGGATAAGTGCCACGGCAGCAATCAAGGTGGTGTTGCCACGCGAGTCACTGGGTGGCAGGGAAGGGGAAAGACCACTTCAAATGGAGTGGCCCGGGGAAGATCTAAATGGAAGGAACATTCAGCCTGACTTTGAAGGGCTGGGGGAACAGTGTCTGGGCAGAGGAACCAGCCCCCCTTTTGGCTTGCAACAGGAAGAAAAAGGAGGCCGGTGTGGCTGGAACGCGGTGAGACTATAATTATGTCATTCACTTGGTTGCGCTGGTAGACTTAGCTCCTTCTCGGGTGTACCTGTGTCATAAACTGCGCGGCATTCATACGCTCTTACATCAGTATTCACCCAGGGGGCTCTGGAATGAGCTACCAGAAACAGAAACCTCTCTGGAAGGAGTGATTTTACGGACTCACCTGACTTTTGCTACCCTAGCAAAAACCTAGCCTAAATCACAGCTAGTGACAGACCAGAGCTCTTCCTAATCTAGCCCATCTTCCCCATCAGGCATCGGTGTGAAGCTCCACGGCCAGGAAGCCCCACAGAACCCCTTTCAAATGGCTAAAATCCCAGGTGCAGTCTGGGAAATGGTTTCTGACTACTGAGCAGAATGAGCCATAATTCTCAGTATTGGTGATGTAGATATGGGTACATACTGACAGCTAGGAGGTTTATGGAGAATATTTACCCATTTCCCTTTGGGGAGGTTTATTGCTATTTCTTAATTTTTCTGCACGGAGCTAGTACAATGAAAGACTTCCACATGACAAAAGGGGAAAAATACGAAGGCTACTTGGTAGGGATCTGAATGAAAAATAAGCTCAATGCAAAAATAACATGCATATTCCTCATATTCCAAAGTCCTCTTATACTCTTTTCCTTCTTCCAAACGCAACAACTTTTAACAATGAAATAACAACCAAACTCTTTGAATGAGATGCATAAAAAATGTTATCTCGGGATCCCGGGACACAAAATAGCCTTTCAAATTTGTGTGTTTTTCATTTGCAAAGCCATCTCACATGCATACTTTACCTATTTATAAATATTTTGCATGGTGCTGCTTCCCCGCTGAGCTGAGGCAAGCTGGACTGGACAGTCACGTGATGAGAACCAGCATCAGAAGGGCTGGGTTCTGAGTCGAAGCTTTGCAACAAATCCCCGACACAGCTGGGCCTCAGTAACCTTCTCTGTGAAATGGGATGAAAATGCTACTACTAACCTCATAATGTGGTGTGGTATTAACAATGTGTGAGAAATGTCCCAAACCCTTAACCAGGAGCTGAGCAGGCATCCATTCATCTGGTCACTTATTCATTTATCACAGGCCATGGAGCATCGCCCTTATTTTACAGAAAAATTGCTGCAGTGTGGGGGACTTGCCCAAGCTCACCCAGCTGACAGGAGGTAGAACCAACCCTCAACCCAGCATCCAACTTCCCTGAGAGAAACTTGTGGCTCCTGAGCACTTGTTGAGGACACAACTCTTAGCCAAATTCCACACACCAGACCATACCCAGCTCACAGCTAGAGGTTTTAGAATGCTCCAAAGTATTACAAGGGACAAACAACTGGTATTTTTTAATTTGAAGGACAACAACATTGTCTCCCAGAGTGTTTCCTGCCACCGAGAAGATAGCTTTTCCAGTAGAGCCCCATGGGTGGCTGCCAACAGGCCCCCATTTTCCTCCTGGTCCCCAGCGGGGGCCTGTTTTAGAGGGGGGCAGAGAGATGAGGGCATACAGAAAGCAAGCCGTCTTATGCCTCTTTACCTGCAAATTCTCTAGAAAACAATTCTTCGAAAGAGGTGGGGTAAAAAAGCATCACTTGTGCAAAGAAGTTCTCGTTCAAACTCTGCTGATCCTTTCCTCCTGAAATCAAACCATTATGGCTTTCCAAGGTGAAGAAGGGTCAGCTCAGGTGGGAAACCATTCCACCCAGGGGTCCATACCTCAGGGCCAATGCTATTCCAA